TCTGTATTCTTCTCTTGGCAAAAGATGCCAGCCGAAGCTCGAGGTCGACATCGCTTGGAGCAAATTGGCATGCCAACACTTCGTATACGGCGAACGAGGATACATGTCACCCCTTGAGAGTGGCGGATCACCTGGCCCAACCCCTAGCCAGCACACGACCTAGCGTACGCAGCACCGCAGCCACAAAGCTATCCTCGCACTATAGATGGAAGAATTTCGCAATAGTCTCAACCGAGATGATCAACCTTGGTCACATCTACCGCATCATCTTTCATTTACCACTTTCCAAAGAGAGCTATCTCTTGTCTCCCCTACATCTCATGTATGAGGCTCGGGGATAAACGTTTCTCAACATCAATATAATCAAACCTTAACAAAAAAAAAAACCATCTTGGCTTTTCTTATAAGATTAAAATATGTGCTAACTATGAAGGTTGACCCAAATATTTAAATTGAAGTAGACACTATCGTTAAGGAGTAATCTTAATTAGTAGGAATAGTGCACTATTTTGCCCTATAAAAATATAGTTTATATATTCAAGAATATGGTTTCAATTACAAACCCAACCTACTCTTATTATTGATAAAATCATGACCAAGGAATTTAAAAGATACCCAAGGGTTGCCTTCTACTCTAGCAAATGTATTACCTCTTTTATGATAGATGTTAAACTAAAGTATTTTCAATATATCTTACATATTTTATTGATATTTTTAGCAAAAGTAAAAATCTTCAATTTTTTTGACAAAATGAAGAATTGGAAGTCAAAAAGGGTATCAAACATGATTTCAATAGAATACCTTTTTTATAATTTACAATTTGACTCCCAATGAATAAGAGATCCTTAAGCACTAAGATTACCAACAAAGCTCAAGTCAAAAACCATTCTTCATTATACTTGACAATAACAATACTCCTGAAAATGATGTGTGCACCTTATAGTCCTTTACCAATGGAAAGGGAAGCAACTATTATCCTCAAGTGTGTTCCAAATCTGATTTCCTAGATTTAATTCTTTCCATGTAATGTATTAAATAAACATTTCTAAAACATTTTTCTTTATTTTTGTTAATCATTTAGTGAACAAGAAAAGAAGATCATACTGTTGGGCATTAAATGATTCAAAGAAATAACTCATAGTATTATTATAAAAAATAATGAAAGAATCATGATTTGACCTTTCATCATTTTGACTAATTATTTATTTTATTTGAAATTTATTTAATTTATTTTAGATTATTTTAGGTTGAATGAATTCTCTATAAATTTTTATGCGTGGAGAAAGTTTTTCTTCACAATCAAGATTTGGTTTCTTAGTCCCTTCATGCATCATCAATGAGAAATAAATATTTCTCAAAGGAACAAACATAATTGATGTAAACTGAATCATTAATTTTTAAAGTTTTATCATTCAAATAAAATTTACATTTATTTATTCTAAGGATGTCATTTTTAATCTTATGTAAAATTTGAGAAAAAAAATTGATGATGTTAATTACACGATAGGTCATTTTGAATTATGTTGAACCAAAAACTTATGTCACATTCCTAAAAGTTGTCTTTTCTATGGCTAGATGCCCATGATAGGAAGAGGTCAAGCATGTTAGTGCATATCTTGAAAATAATAGAGAAAACTTGTTCTCAAACAAAATTTGGAAATCTTCCCTATTCAAGATTTTTTTTGCAGATAGAAAAAAAATCTTACTCAAAATGATTTTCTTGGCATGACTTGATTGTAAATGGATAAATTTTTCCACTATTTTCGAAAATGGTACAATGTTGATATAATTAAAACATTGTATGCTAAAGTTAGTATCAATGATATTGGGGGCATATTAAATTGTTTTTTTTGCTACTTTAAGAGTATAGAGACAAATACAATGATTTCAATCAGTAGCATGCACGGATGGCTAAACCATAACACCATCTCTCTCTCTCTCTCTCTCCGCCCTCTCATTGTCACCATCAATGTCACACCCTCAATCTCACTCATCAACATGATATGCTTGTTAATGGGGGGGGATATAAGATGTTCTTATCTGCAGTTTTTTATTATGTAGAGATAACTTTCCAAGACGCTCTTGGACCGGTTGTTCTAAGAATAAAATTTATAAAAAATAATATTTTCTGACTTTTCAACGCAGGTAATTTCTGTGTTCAAAGCGGCGGTCAAATGATTCATTCCCTGTGGAAAAGGTACGCATCGATGGCACGTGAAGGAGAAGAAGGTGGCCTCGGTGGTCTTCTTAGTTTATTCAAAAGCGATGGCCTTTTGCCCACCCTCTTCACCTAATTCTCCTCTCCTTCTCGACCACCACCACCACCATCCCCACTGCCACCTCCGCTTCCACCAGCACCAACGCGGCAGCAGCTCCCCTTTTGCTCAGAAAAGGGGGGCGTCCACAGCGGGCACCACCCTTTTGAGCCCCACGCGTGCCTCGAGGCCGCCACTGTACCCGCGTCATCCCTGCGGCTCAGCGCGCACCACGCCAGGATCTCTCCTCGGCCTGCGTCATTCCCAGAGTCAGACTTCCCCCTCTTGTGCTCCGTGCGGAGGGCATTCGGGGATGGGTAGCCCGATCATGGACGTTTCGTCGAGCATCTCCCGAGCGTCGTTGTTTCTTCTCAGATGCTCGGAAGAACGGCTTTTGTTGGCTGGCTCTGGGAGTGGGAATTCTTCAAGATGCGGCCTGATCATGGATGGATATCATATTCATCGGGGCGGCAATAATGTTTCGGGCATCACACAGGGGGGAGAGCCGTGGAGAGAGAGAAAAAAGGGTAATCGCCGACTCCCCTGGAAGCTCGTTGGTGGTAAAGCTTGGGGCCGGCGCTGGGTGGAAAAGCTTCGCGGCGCTCGGCCTGTGTCTCCCTCCCTGTAGTCTCCTGTGATCTCCACTCGGGATACAAGGGGCTGTAGAGAGTGACTCCACGAGGATTGGCTAAAATAAGCGCAGAAGTCTTCCTTTCCAAGTACACCGTCTGCTTTTGGATTATCAGGGAATCCGCCCGTCATGCTCGTGGTGATCGCCGACTGGCCAGCCAGATGAGAACTCCTCCACCGGCTTCCCATATATAAAATTGCCCCCATCCCCCCCCCCCCCCCGCCCCCCTCTCTTTCTTGCTCTCTTTCCGAGTCACTGCCCTGTTTCATTGGATGCGCTCTACAGATTTTTCGACCTCACAATCATGCAAATTTGTGGTATCCTGCAAAGATCATGAGAAAAAAACTTGACTTTCTTCTTGTTCAGTCGCTATCTAGCCTAAAATCATCATCTTTTTCTGCATATTCTTGAAATCTCTGTCATCGTCTCAACTGGCACTGGAGATCATCATGGCTAGTTGAGCAAATGAAGAGGAGAGCTTTGAGCCCGTGTGATGTTCATGGGTTATTCATGATCAAAGGCATCCTCGTTCAGGAATAAAGAAAAAACGGTGGTATCCCTTGAATCCGTCTTTTTCAAAAGGCAGGAGCTCCAATGTGCAACGCCTATGCAGCTTCAGAATAAATAAACTCCGGCCACGTGGACATGTAGAAAAGGAACAATGCAGTGGGCCTGCCCTGCCCCTTGACTTCCATGAAGGGCCTGCTTCCCTTGGTCTCTCTGTAGATAACCACAAATCATTAAAGACAGATTAGCAAGGGATAAGGAGAAAAAGACCCAATCAGGGTAAGCATCGAATCCCATGGATTCATTCTTAACTTATAAAAGAAGTTGCACATGATGGCAATGGAGTTGCCCCAGATGGGAATGTAAATTATTTATGTTGAAGGAGATAAAAATAGGGCAAGCAATGTGTTTGGGCTTCTTTATTCTATCAATATAGTTTACGAAAATAATGGTGGGATAGAGAATTATCTGATGAAGGTGGCCTTAAATTCGTCATGGGTAGTAAACAGAGTAATTTTGTCGAATATTCAGAGCATTTATTTCCTCGTAAGATGACAGGAGTGGGCATCCTGACCAGTGATTTGATGTGATTCTGGCGCGCAAGAGACATGTCGGTCCACATAAGAAATCACCGAGTTGTATCATGTGCTGGAGGGATTTCTTTCTTCTTTGGGAGCCCAGCTTTCGAGATTCTGAACATTTCCTGCCCGAAAACAGGGACACAAGGACATGGAAACATCCTCTTTGCATGCTGCCATTCTGTGGAAACTTCAATGCAGAAAGCTGATGAGATTCAGTATTTTCCTGTCAGAAGCTGGGCTATGCATTCACATTTAAATATATTAAGGACTTTCACAGACCAAGCTACATAGACTGAAATGTCAAGCTTTTTTGGGCAATCCGTTCACTGAGGAGCAGAATGAAGACTTCCATGTTTCGCTCTTTCCCAATTTACCATACTCCAGTGAATACTATATTCCAGTCAAATCTCATTGTATAAGTTGTTTTGGGCAGATAATTGCTATCATAGACGAAAATACTGGAAAATCTTGTCAAAGTAACCTATAAATTAGGTCTATTTATTGGATTATTTTCTGTAGGCCATTTAATGTAGTATGGGAACCATGAAATTTGGTTTTATGTTTATGTTCATCCATCATTAAAGTCCTAGAAGGAATCCCGACCTTGCTAATTAAACAGAGAATACCATGTCATTTCAAGTTCTCTCAGTAGATCCCCATTTATATTCCCAAAGTTTATGAGTAACGCCAGATTAAACACAGATAAAAGATGTGTAGAAGTTAAATCGTACCAAAATTTCGTGACACCACCCGATGATTTAAAAATCTATATGATTTTATATTACCGTATTGCTCGACCACAGTTTTGTGGAAAGAGTGAAGGGGTCAATGAGCTATTAGAGAAGGCTAACTAGCAAATGACAATATTTTTAGAAGATACTGAAGACGTCCCCTTTAGTGGCGACACATTCTCTCCCACAACTTATTAGAGCAGGTCCTTGTCCTTCATCCCCATTTGTTTCAGACTGGACCTTTTCCTCTCTCCACCACCGACCCTCCCCATCACTTCTGGACCCTGGTGAAATCATGGAAAACTCCAGTTCGAGAGATGAATCTTTTCCCGCTGGCCTGCGTGTTCTTGTGGTTGATGATGACCCCACCTGGCTCAAAATTCTCGAGAAGATGCTTCGCAAATGCTCCTATGAAGGTGTGTATGCTCTGGTCAAGCATGTTTCATGTGTCTTCCGCTTGGTAAACCTTGGTTTTTTTTTATTATTTTGATAACATCTGCACAATAATGTTCGGTAGGCCTCAAGAGAACCTGTTCCCCATATATATCAACAGAGATCTCTGCAGATAACTATTTCTCGCTCCACTTGTGTTTTTTTGTTAACCCAAAGCTGTTTCAATATTGCTAATGGCGCCCTTCCCTCAAATGCCTTCACTAGAGTGCTTTGAATCAACGGAGCTTGGCTTCACGATCAAAAGGAAGCATTACTTTGTGCCTCTGACAATAGTAATGAAAAATCATTCGCATCCCCTAGGACATGGAGCCATCAAGTGCTTGTATAATCCAAAATATGAGAGAAAAATGAAGATGCTGATGAATTCTATCAGAAATTTCTCATTTCTTTGTACAGTTTGTAAATTATTAGTATACCGATAAGATATTCCTCAGAGAGTTGCCATGAGTATTATTTTTCTGGAAAAGCGAATGATTTATTCTTGAGTTTGTTCAGACTGTTAGGATTGATTTTCTTAGACTAAACTTTTAGGATTATTAGGCTGCAGGGAGATATTTTTCTCTCCTTTGCGAATATGGTTGGAATAGTTTTCCATAGCTCATCAATTTTTTCATATTCTAGCGCAAATAATCAGTGGATCTCACTCTCACCTCTATTAATACCTTCACTATATCCCAGTTTGAAAACCCACGAACTTGTAAACACTGTATTTTTGACAGTGATAGACTTCACTTTAGGGAGAAAAAAAAAGACGTGTTAGTACTGATAAGAGTCACGTAGTCACCCAAAATTTCCATTCATCATATATGTTCTTTGTTATCAAGTTTCTCACGTGACCATACTGTATTATAGATGTAATTATTCTCTCACCGTTTCAGTACCTTACCTTCTTGGAGAGAAATAATCATGCTCGACTCTTTTCGACAATATATGAATAGATGTTCGTTAAACACTGCAAGCCCAGTGAAAGTCTACATGGTATTGATTGTTGGCCACGACGCCGTGAATTCTTTTTTGACTTCCTCAGAATAAATTCAGATCAAAGTTTTAGTAAAATACAACATTTTGTTATTGAAGAAAGTAATTACTAAACTTTTAGCTTCATCTTCTTAGTTAAACTAAGGCATCCACACAATGATTATAACCTGATATTACTTGTTTTGGAACACTCAATCGGACCTGAAGATCTGATATCAACCACTGAAAGGGTATAGATGCAGAGGAGACTGATGAATGTGCAGGGTTTTCAGAGGCAATGACTGCTCACAAATGGAAGCCAAGTAGCCATGGTTGTGCTTGCCCATGAGTTGGGTGGGCGGATTCAGAGATGGGTGGGAAACTTCTAGTGCGGTTGGTAAGAAAGGACGTTTTGTGGGGAGAGTGTTACCCCTATATCAGTGATATGGTTCTTTCTGATTGTAAATTGGGATAAGACTACGAGCCTGACAAATTCCAGAGTGAGTCAGGGCAGATTGGATGCTACTAGTTTTGTGTTTTGATCTCAATTGATAATCAAAGAATATAAATCATGATCTTGGGCTGCGAAAGTTCATGAGATGCTTCCTGACTATGACCTGATCCAACCTGTATTCTTAAACTTGTGTAAACTGGGTCTGAGATTCTCACAACCTCGCTAATTCGCCATAAGAGCCTAGATAAGACCTGATTTTTTGATAATATCTTGGAAACATTCGTGAAACTCGAGGGGTCAAAAGATGAGAACATAGTCTAAAATGCCTAAAAATGCGGAGATAGTATCTTGCATGAGGCAGATACATGTTTTTCTAAAAGTGAGAGAATTGAATCATGTTGAGCCTTGAAAATAGATCATGTTGAAACATTAATAACATTCTGGATCATTAGGCATTAGCTTGGAGTTGTTGACCTCTGATGATCATTCTGGATCATGTAACCTTTGTCAAAACCACCAACTAGCATGACACAAAAAATCTTGGCGCGAAGTTCAGATATAATTTAAAGGCTTTATTGGAAACTTGTGGGATTGTATCTGTGCCTCGATGATGAGCCTGAACATAAGTTTTGCCTATCAATCTAAGGCTGGGAAGATCAAACAAATAATCGAAAAGTTAAGAAAATTTATCTAATTTTTTTGGTTGAGTTTTTCTTTCCATAAGTTTCACGTCCTACGGCATCATCTCTTTTCTTTTAATACTTTTTGACCATGATAATTACTGCTGGTTCTCATTGTACAACATCAATCCATGACAGATATCTGAATCCGAGGAACAGTATACACATTGTCAGAAATCATTCCACATCATATTTCACCTGACTATGCCTCCCAATCGTTTTCCTCGGATCAAGAATGATTTTTCAGATATCTTTTGCTAACTTCTTTTACGTACTTTATGTTGGTCCTTCGACTAGTAATCTGAAACAAGACTTGGTCGATGAAAATGATATTATTTTGCTGAACTTATTTTGGAAGCTGCCTTACTTGTGATTATTTTAAGCGTTATGGGTTCTCTTTTTTTGCAGTTACAACGTGCAGTTTAGCCAGAGTTGCCTTAGGCTTGCTCCGTGAGAGAAAAGACTGGTTTGATATCGTGATTAGTGATGTTAACATGCCTGATATGGATGGTTTCAAGCTTCTTGAACAAGTTGGACTTGAGATGGATTTACCTGTTATCAGTATGGGGTCTCTTTTCACATGTTATTGTTGTCTCAGGCGGCTCAGTGCTGTCTTCCTTGACAAGTCCTATTTCACTGATCGACTCTTTGCCTTGGATATTTGCAGTGATGTCAGTGGATGGGGAAACAAGCAGAGTAATGAAAGGAGTTCAGCATGGAGCATGCGACTATCTTCTTAAGCCTGTGAGGATGAAAGAGTTGAGGAATATATGGCAACATGTTTTCAGAAAGAAAATACACGAGGTGAAAGAGACTGAGAATTACGACAGTTATGAAGACAACAATATCAGGAGCAGACTAGATGAGTTCAATGGAGGCTTCCATCCTTCAAAGAAACGAAAGGATAACCATCACAAGGAGTATATGGAGCAAAGCTTCGGTGACTCCGTTTCAGTCAAGAAGGCTAGGGTTGTATGGTCGGTGGATCTTCATCAGAAATTCGTCACCGCTGTTAATCAGATAGGATTTGACAGTAAGTATCTGTTCTGGGTAATCCTGATTTACTATTTTTTTATGGCAAACAATTTCCTGCACTTTTTAAACTAAAAAATCACGGAAAAAGACTTTACAAACTGTTGGGGAAAATATATCGTCTAAAAGTATGTTCCTCGGCTATCATTGTTCTACTTGTTGGAACTTTTCTTTGCAGACTTGTTCAGAGGTCTGATTCTCTTCTTGGTTCATCTTTGGCAGAAGTCGGCCCAAAGAAAATACTCGATTTGATGGATGTTCCTGGGCTAACAAGGGAGAACGTTGCTAGCCACCTACAGGTAGAACTTCTTTCTGCATTTGCTTGAATGTTTATTTGGAAAGAACTATGCAGGGTGATAAAATTGACACACTTGCTAGACTAAACTCCATTTGCATTATCACAAATTCAGGTTCTAAACTTAAAACTGATGCTGAGTTTTTAGTCCATTTCATTTTATGGAATAACATTACAACATTTTATACCATTGCCTGAAGATATCGAACGGATCCGCGTCAATATATCAGACCCTTCTGTTTTCATGTTTCTCAGTTTGGTATTTTGAAAACCCTCTATGTTTATGCTGATCCGAAGTGGACTGGGGATGATAATACCTTTTTTTGAAACATTTCCTTCTCAATCTCCGAAGAATTAGAGTCTGAATTTGTATTGTTATTGCTTTCCTTGGATGATTCCAAAATTACGATTAGTGCTCTTGGGAATATTTTCATATCTAAAACCCATTCGTTAATTATCAGGATGATTAATGTTGCTGTCGGTAATTATCTAGCAATAGAAGACTCTATACTCTGCTTAATTCTTTCATGATTGATTGAAGATAAATCTGGCCTAGACTTGAATTGGCATTTTTTATTTTTTTCTTTTGAAGATGTTATAGCATGGACATCTTCATCACACGATGACCATTCTTATAATCTACACTGATCATGTACATTCCTCATCTTAGATTTACTCAAAATTCACTATTTCTGGGAAAAATAGGAAGTCTTTCTGAATTTGAGTCACTCCACCTGCAGAAGTACCGGCTATACTTGAGTAGATTGCAGAAGCAGAACGAAGAGAAAACTCTTGGGGGAGCTGCACAAACTGAACTCAATGTTAAGGAACGCCCTGGGGTTCTCAGTCAGCAAAGCTCATTAGCAAGACAACAGCAGAATTCTCCAAGTGGCTTTGGATTTTCCTCTGCACGAATCTATACTCAGGAAATGATCCCAAAAATAGCATCATTCAGAGCGACAGAGACTGAGTTGGCCTTGAATGACGAATCCTGGGCATCTCTGAATAAGAGAAACATTACCAGATTTGGTGTGATGGCATCAAAGAACCTCGAGCCATGGGGTGATGGAGGAAATCAACTAACCCAGTTCGTCCAATTCATGAAGGACCAGCAATCCATTACTTTCAAGGACTTCTTGGAGTTCAGACAGGCTGGGCAAGATCATTGCTTTGAAACTGATCACCCGCAATCTCAACCCATTGTCAACTTGAGGGGGTCCACTGAAGCAGAAGACACCTCCCAACAAATCCACATGAAGCCAGTTGATTCCAAAGAAAGCAAATATATGCTCTTGAAATGTGGCCTTGATTCGGGCTCTTCTCAGGTCAGCCATGGATTCGTCAATACTCGTTCCTTCCAAGCAGCCTCAGCCACAAATCTTTCTTGTGGAAACCCCTGCTCGTCTGATGACAAGAACAGCATCACCAGCTGGTCATCGTTGTATAGTGACGCAGAGGTCGCTCCTTCTATTGACTCCCTCACGTTCCCTCTTCAGAGCTGTGGATTCTTCGAGAACGCAGGTTTCCATGGCTTGGGGGCTTTTGAGTGCAACCAAATCGCATCAGACTTCCAGAGCATCTTATACGATGAACTACAGTACAACTGTGAGTATCTCTCTGACTTATTCGAGGCTCCAATGGTGGATGATGGCCTCTTCACGTGATCACTGCCTGCCTGGGCCACTTTCTTCTTGGTTGATCTCAGCTGGAAGAAGAAAGAGTCTTTCTCTTCCCTTCTTTCATCTCCAGTGCAGTATCAGGTGTAGAATCATTCTGCACCCAAATGAAGCAGATTTGAGGGCATCGATCCACCTGTATGTTCTTGAATTTAACCACGAAAACATCCATCCGTCGGACAGAAGTTTATTATATGCTTCTGTTGAAGCTGTACAGAATTTATATATCAAATGGTCTATCTTTGTATTTAGCAAAGAACTCCTTTGAACGAGGATGATATTCCATGGTAAAATTATATTTAGAACCCTGATTCTAATTTTGTTCTCTGGAAAATTACATTCATTATTTGCTTCTATTCAAAAATGTGCAGACTTTCTATCAAAAGTATCAAATGGTGTAGCCTTGTTCCAATCGACGGACTCCTGTGACCATGGATGTTATATCATGGTAAAATTACACTTAGAACCCTGGTTGTCATTGTTTTCTTGAAGAAAAAAACTATTGTATTGCATTGAAAATATGCAGAGATTATATCAGTAGTACCCAGCTTTGTAGGTCTGTATGTGGCATACTTCTTCGAATGAGGATGATACCATCTTTGTGGCTTCTCCTAGAAAAAAAACTTAGATTTTTCATTAAAAGTGACTTCTATATGATCAGGTAGAAATTTCTTTTGTTTTTCAGAATGTGGACTATTAACATGACCTTTTTTCTGTAATAAGGTATCTTAGATAGTGATGTACTCAACTCAAGGTGAAGTTGAGTGAAAGAATGGAGGTCAAAGTCAAAGTTACAAAGGTTGGCTTCAGTTAGATCTCTCAAAGAAGTATTGACTTCCATCATGAAGACTTTACCCTTTAGTTGACTGAAGTCAATCAACACAAGCACACGGTTTTAGCAGTAGTTGGCCCACTCCTTTTCAGACCCCTCTTGGCCGTTCTTCTATCTAGATTAAAAGCCTGTGGCTGAATTGTAGAGAGAAAATAATCTTGTGAGGGATATTCATGACTCTGAAAATCATTAGACTTATGATCAAGACATTGTCATAATGCATGATGTGAAGAAGAAACCACAGCCTTCGATCGTTATCATGAAGCTTGTGTCATATGTAAAAGATTGGATTTTTTTTATCTTGGTCATTGGTTGAAGGGAAACCAAAGGTTTAACCACAATAAAACGTTACTTTTTTTTATTTCCCCTAAAAAAGGCTATTGTACAATGTATTTATTCAAAAGATGAAGCAAAGAGACACGTTAGATACTTACATTCCACACCTTTACCATCTTTACCAATCTGACCCATTTTCCCAGATTTTATAGGCCCAGTTCCAGCACATAATCTTGTCCAAAAAATCAGCGGCAATGCCTCAACTAAAAAATAAACAACGTCTGTAGCCTACTATACATTTCAACTGATACTATGAATCGTGAAGAACTGGAGATGGGTGCAGAGTAAACTGTGATCAAACAGACTGACAGGAATGAGGCGGCACCTCATCTCTGTGAAGGGCGTCTATTTGTGCTCTTGCTGTTCTTCCTCGAGCTCGCTTCGGCGCTCTCTTCTTCTTCGGCCTTCTGGTCAGCCTCCAGAATCGCAAGCTGGGAGAAGGGAGAAAAGATGCAGGTCAACACCCCTTTAAGGAAATGATTTTTGAGCTAGTGTATAGGATGGGCCACCTCATCGAGCACTGGCTTCAGCTCCTTAAACCGGGCCTCAGCGAGATCAAAACCATCCTTGCGAAGTTCCTGAGAGTTTCAAAGCACGTGGGTATAATATTTTTCAATCACCAAGAAATGATTATATATAATTTTTCATGCAAGAGAAAATGGTTGATGGGATCAGAATTAAATGACTCAAAAACTGAAAACACGTCAATGTCATATAAGTAGATAGCGAGATGTTATTTTTCGATCCATTTACTAAGACCTTAGGATATACCGTAGTCGATTTAAATACTGAAGAAGATTTAATCAAATGTTTGTCCGGTTTATTTTACAATAAAAGGAAAAATTCTCTGAAAAAATAAGCTTTTTATAAAAAAAGGGAGATGGATGCATATAGTCACACCGATCACAGCTAAGAAAAGCTCACCTTTCCCGTATGTTGAGTGTGTTCATGGGCGGCCATCTGCCAGTACAAATTGGTTCTTCTGTAAAAATCCTTCAGTGTTTCTCCAGGCTGTGAGAGAGGAGAGAGAGAGAGAAATAAAAAAAAGATCATGCAGCGCAATTAATTATCCAAAAAAGTAAATTTCTTAAGCATAAAATCGAGGTAAAACACGAATGCAGACTCATTGCTTGTAGTTTCTGCTCTCCCACAGAAAAATCGGCAGGAGCTTCTTTGAGGAATCTTATGCCTCTTAAGTACCAGAACATAAAGAGCTCCCACTAGTAAACCTTGGAAACCTGATAGAAGATAAAGGAAAGATTTGAAAAAATACTCAGCATGTTGAGTACCATGGGAGTCCTTTGGGAGTCAGAGAGGCCGAGAGTGACTCGTATCTGCTCTATCCTCATCCTCTTCTCTTTCCTCCGGAGATTCTTCCCCTCACCCTTCAGTATAGCAACAGCATCTTCCGTGTTCATCGTTGATTCCCCATTATCCCCGGCCTTACAAAGCATTCAAAGCAAAAGAGAATTTGGTGAAGATCATCATATTGTAACTATATTTGGAAATGCAGATGGAAGACCTGCTGCACCTCTTCATCTTCTTCTGTCTCATCGCTGTCGTCTCCACTCTGGCTGTCGTCATCTTCGCTGTCATCTTCGTCATCGTTCTCATCAGTGACTTCTAACCATTCAGAACTGGAAGCCTGACAGTGGAGATAATTTAGTTGGAACTTACTCTGATTAGCCAAATATCAGACCAACCAAAGCCAAAAGAATGAAAGGAGAAGGAAAAGAGTCCCCGGAGCAGATGCATATGCTACCAAAAGCTGAAGTCATAAATGCTGAGCCATATTCATCATTAGAGATGTCAGCAACAGTATTCAGACAAAACCAATGCAATATCAAGTGATTACCAGGCAAGAAGGCATTAATAGGTGCTGTAACTTGTAATTAAAAAAAAGAGAGGTAATCAATAGATGCTGCCAGGATTTATAAGCGATAAAAAGTATTAATAGCATTTATTTCCACCGAAATCATAAGCTACAAGGCTACAATAGAATCAAACCGGTATGATGCACTTCCACTCATCCAGCTTGCTGAGATTAAGCATGTAAAGATCATCGAGTGTGATTTCTCTATCCTTGACCTCCATCATGCCCCCATAAACATATAACGTGTCTTTCCCAGCTACCATACATGCGTTGATGCGCCCACAGGGCTTCACTGTCTGGGAGGCGTAAGTTTGAGGAAGCTGTTAGTTCAAAGGAGAAATAATTTCTTGGTACACTGACAAAAATACGTGAAACCAACCTCTGGATTGGTGGCAGAGGTCTGAATATTTTCAGTGTAATCCTTTGAAAACCCACCATTGTTGAGAGTGAGGACTCTGTCCATGTGGTGAGAAACTTCTTTGGTGTCGCATTTCTCACCATCTACTTCGGAGATTTCTGAGTCCTCTACAGTATTTTGATCGTCCTTGATGTCATCGTTTTCTGGCTTCCTGGATCCTCTTGGCTTCAGAAGAAGTTTGAGCTATAATTAGATAAATCTCAAATTTTATGAAAGCATACTACTTGACAGTTTGGTAATAATTCGGGATGAACATTCCTATGTGACAAAAATGAAAGCCAAGAGGTGCATATGCATTACAACGAAAGATGATGGAAATCAAGCCAGTAATCTAGTACATTTCGATCAGCGCCGATAATATATAACCACACCTTATCTTTTGCGGTTTTATCCTTCCGCAGCTCCAAAGGATACCTACGGAATATACAAAGAGGAAATCAAGAAAAGTGAAGCATATGAACAACATCTATGAAGATATCCCCCAAATGAACTGGAAGAAAGAATCACGTTAAGGGAGAGAAAAGTGATGAACTGATGACAAAAGACTACAAACGAAAAACTAATTTTATTATTACATCATAAAATACCACCATTAACAACAAGAAGGCCCTCTCCTCTGGCAGTATAGATGCACCAAAACAGACCCATTTGATTATTCAACCCACAAGAATTGGGAACATATGTTTACCATTTAACGATAAATGTTTGTGTCAAACAGGTAGTTTTTATTCTTTTTTTCATTCCTTCGTTTATATTCCTCATATATACGCGTGTTACCATCAATCATCTTATATATGACTAGAATACATTCCCAACATTAGGGTTTAGAACCAGTGGAAAAATCAATAGAGCAAATAGTATGTATGCATGGAAGCACAAAGTTAATGTAACACCGAAAAACAGAAAAGTGACAAAAAGCCTACAATGGGGAAACAAAGAATCTGGTGTGTCTGATGAGCACATCATGATGCATAATTAAAAAGAAACATATAGGGTTCAAGTGTCTGCGTTAGACCATTTCGTAGGATCACCAGTGTCTGTATTGGCAGACATTCAATTGTACGCACAAACATTTTTCTTCGATAAGGAATTTTCCAAAGATCAAGTAGCCCTCCTCAAGGGCTAGCCCTTTTTAAGATGGGTTTTCATCCAATACAGTCGCTAAGTAATCATTATGTTCTCTGGGATCATCTTAATCACGTTTCAACCCTAATCTTATCATCCAACTGGGTTTCATATTTCAAAAATGACAACATCAATTTCAAGTTGCATGTATACCCACAGATGGGAGATTGCCACTGCCTTAATGCAAAGATATGAAATAGGAGTTGAGAGTCCCCAAATGGAATTTACCCAGATGCACTAAGCAAACTACTCTATGTAATGAAACATGATCCACATTAAGTTCCTCCTATACATTCCACTCATCCAAAAGCAAAGTATAAATCCAAGTCGTATGACCCTATTTCACAGTGCACAACGCTCGCCTTATGCTATTCAAGGAAGAACCTTCCCTTTTGCTTGGGATCCACAGCCTCTACACACCTAACAGAGCCCAAAGCACTAAAAGACTCAACTGCCTCTCTGCTAGATCCCCGGACTTCCTTACGTACAACCACTTCAGGCCCTTCTTCCTCTCTTCCTCTGGAGTAACTCTCATAGGCGATTATCCCTATAGATTACCAGCAAACAGGTTTCTCAGAGATCCACTGCCGCATGTCACCACACACATAACCAATGCAATCTTAGGCCTGGCATCAATTAAAAATGCACATAACATAACCAATGGTTAAGTCAGATCAGGGTCTATAATCTTCTACTCGGAGGCCCAAATTCCTCCTGATATCTATATAGTATACATATGATGTTCATGAACCGGCTATCCACTGATAAACACAGCATAACATCATCAATGCCTTCTATACGTCTGTGTATTGTTCGTATTGTCGTGCTCATTGCAATAGTCAGTTTTCCATATCAAACTTAAGATCAGGGGGGTTCTTCTCCTCCAACCGAAATCCTATCGAGACACAAAAACTTAATCCTTTCATGAAACCAGGAAATGGAATTTTGATGAAACATGTGTAGATGATTGATAAGAATTGCGGTGAAGATTGACAATTGAACTCCTCAACCATTTAAAAATATCAACTCAAACCCAATTTATAAAACCATCGAAAATGAAAGCTAAGTCAGTAAGATTTTGAACTCCTTATTCCGAGTCCATTCCATTCCTCTACCACAGAATTTCGCAATGAATCAAGTCAACATCTATGAAATAATGTTCAGTAGCAAAAGGCTAGCGATAAAAAAAAAATTCAGCGTAAAAAATGTTGCAAAATAAAAAAACTCATCTTCCATGTGAAAGCATAGACGAAAAAGCCACCACACAAAAATATTGTGCTATTTATGCAAATGACGCATAGAAGAACATACCACCGATTGGTGTCTAGTTGGAATCCATACAGCTCATTCATGAATAAACTCATTATTTCATCTCCTGTAAAAATAAAAAGTATATATGAAAATCAATGCATAAGTAATGAAGGTTTATCCTTCCAAAAGAAAATGTCCTGAAATATTTTAAAATCTAAGTCAATATAAAATTCATCCCACACATTGCTAAACAGGATCCTGACCTCCCATGATCAAATAAGATTGCTGAGTACAGTAAAACAGAGACACTCGACAGAAATGCATTCTATCATGGACTTAGATCTACAGAGAAAACGGCCCATAAAACAGAGGTCGGCTCCTTTATATCAACAGACTTAAATGACAACTGGAAAACTGCTGAACATTTACTTGCATACAAAATTCTAAGCCATCAGAAAATTTATGAGATAAGGTACCATAAGGAAGCCGGTGACTAAGAAGCAAAAAATGGTTAACAACGTGATACCTCAAGACGGATGTGGGGCTCAGAAAGGAATAATAGCGAGAGATATCAAATGCTCTGGGCAGAGAATAGGGATTAGATAGTAAAAAAATTCAAAGGATCCTTTTGTGTCCGAGGCTTATGAATCATTTTATTTCTAGAAGTTGAAAATTCCACTGGAAACTCTGGGCACATCTTCTATCAAGTAGAAGTATGCCGCAGTGCTACAGCTACAGAAAAGTGGAAGTTTGATTTCTGCAAGGGCATGAGCTCTGGATGCCACATGATCTCATTTGCTCTCACTGGAAGGAAAATCAGGCAAATAGCCATGTTTTCTATGAAAATTGTACGATCAACATTAATAATAAGGAAACATGTTAGTACACAATGACACAAGCCACATTCCAATTGATTCTTCTACAAGTCATTGGAGTCGAGAAAACTATCAAACCAGACAAACTTTAAATAGAATAAAAATATAAGCATGCCATTTAAAAGTTTATTTGATGATATTTGTGAGTACGAAAGCTAGAAGATTTTTGAACGAGTTTAAAATATTAATTATAGATGAACGCTTATGAGAAATGAAGCAGACAAGAGAAGACAAGAAAAGGTAGGTAAAATTTCAACAAATGAAGACGTGTGCACTGCATGACAACTGACCTGTAACTTCCATATCCACAACACCTCCAAACATTACTGCTCGTTTCTTGTGCAGGCACATTGAAAACCCAGCACGAGGCCCTGGTGGCATCCCAGCTTTCTTAACCTATCGAAATTTATGATATTTCCTTGAATAATAGATCATAGGAGAAGAAATTGAATGTGCTAGGAATGCATAATTTCATCAAACTACCATGCTACATAGCAAAAACCTGGGCTATTAGCGTATAGAGAAAAAAAAAGTCGCACTTGCAACGAATTATGATGGTCAGAAGTTTTAAGAAATTAAAGAAATCGATAGGGAGAGATATCACAAATGACTGGAAAAAATGTAGTCGTATTTCTATAAAAAATATATGGCAAGAAAAGACACATTAAACGTTAAACTGAAATTATGAAAATAAAAAAGAGGAAATACAAAGGAAATAGGCATTACTCCATGAAATAATCTCCGACTATCAACTTGACAGTAATTACAAGATGGGATCTCCTTCAGCAAAATTACCTTACAATCCTCCCTTTGTACTACAAACCGTCTCGTATGCAACATTTTTTCAAGGTCTTTCAAAAACATGGTTTATCACCTTGCCTGATTGCAATCTCAATTCGTCATTGGTACCAGATGCTTCTCCTACCTAAGATCTTGCCAGGTACTTCTGCAAACAGCTTTACTGAAATAGTAAACTTAGATAGGAATCACTTATTTTATTATTATTTTCCTCGGGGATTGATTTCCTACAGAAACCTCTTGATGTTTTATATCTTGAAAGAGAGAGTTAAAAAAAAAAGAGAGAGAATAAGAGAAAAGAAAAGAGTTAGAAAAAGAAACCAAGTCATTCCTCGTGGGGTGAAAGGTCCCTTACCTACTTAGAAGAAGTACGGCAACTGATGGTACTAACAAAATCTTGGCCAAAGGGATTAGACGTGTGCAACACTAAGAAGACAAGTTTATATTTGGGCTTATTGTCATGCTCCAACATAGTTCTATCCTCCTCACTGCCTTAACCATTCTTTTCTCACCACTTTATATCATTTTATTTATTTCTTAGAACCACTTACTGCAGCAAACTCGTCTTGCAGGAACACCTCATGGCGCACAACATGGAGGTCTACACGTCCTACTACTATTGAGCAGATCTTCTAACTTCATGAACTCAAAGGCTCTTCCAGCCCAATACAAATCAACCGCCTTCTTCAAATCTGATGAGCGCACTGAAGTCTATCTTCAGTATTATCACGTCCCCTCTTCAAAAGAGATCTTTAATCTTCCATGTCATCCTCACCCCTTGTGCAAATGAGATCCCACTTATGTAACCTCAGAAAGAGGTCAAACATCTAGCACTCAATCAAATTTCTTCAAAAAAAAAAAAAAAAAAAATCTTGAAAGAGAGTTTTAAAGGGAACCCAAGGGCCCCTTCTTCCAGCTCTGATAATAAAAGCTGGAAGGAGATGTCTTAGTCCCGATGCCACTACTATGGCTTCAAGAGATCACCTTCCCTCTCTCTCCCTGGTCATGAGCAGAGAAAGAGGCCAAAGTTCGCACTGAACACAGTGAAAGATGAAGAGTATGTTCTATTGCCAATTTTTTTGACAACAGAAACTAGGTTCTGTAGTCATTCTGAACTACACAGAGACAAGTAGAAACATGGAATAATAACACTAGACAGCAATGGGGAGATAATTTCAATCACATCAAAACTATAAATCTGAAACTTTTTACGTCTGTTACCTTTCGCCACTCCCAGGTACGAGTGTCAAGGGACCACATGTCTGAATGAACTATTCCCTTTTCTGAGCCATTTTTGTCAGATGTGACTTCTTTTGAATAACCCCCATATAGAAATACCTGCTTATACAAGTGAAATCAGCTTTTCGCATCAGGAAATATAGGTTGCTTAATCTTTTGATTAATAATAGGCTCAACAAGGGACGGAATTAAGAACCATGCAATAAGTAAGAAAAAAATGATTATAAACAGTAGTAATAAAAGCATGTCATGTCAATTTAAATTATGCTTCCAATTTTACAATCATGAAAGTGACTTACCCCCACACCATTTAGATCCTTATGATATGATCCCCTGACTTTTGGCGAACAATTTATTTTTTGAAAACTAATATTTAACCAAAATATTGAAACATTAACTCATTCATCATCTAATTTCCCCTAGGTTCACTAAATCGTTGTCTCTAATCTAATTCAGTGAGGGGAACCCCATACCTCCTTCAAAGAAAAGGAAAGAAATGGCAGCAAAGAGAATGAAACCCCCCTTCTAAACACATAAGGAAATTTCTCAGAATGGCGCTTATCGTAAAAAAAACTGCTATGTAACACTTTCAATAAATAAAGACATCTAAAAATTGTAATATTATTAGTTTTTCTGCTTTAAATTGGATCAGGCCATTTGACCAATATGATTACAAAAGGGACCAGACGAGCTGATTCAGGATCCAAACCTGTTTCTGCCTATGAGTATTCCAAATGGTCATACCTCACAACCAAAACCTAGCATCATTTAATCACTACATAGTACAAGTTCTATAGCTACATGCGTGAAAAACAATAGGAAATACCTGAAGTGATTCAAAATAGCAGAGCAAAACCAATATTCCCATGCAGAGTAATATGAATGCAACAAGAAATAAAATTCGGTCAACTTGCCTCATCCTGAAATACAAAGAGCTGAAATCCACTTCTTGCAGTAGGCCACAAGCATCCAAGCTTAGGTTTTATCTCTTGCCACTAAAAGTATAGTAGAAGGAACTTTAGAAACAACATGAGAAAAAGGTTACTTGTTCTTAGGATAAAAGTTTGAGAAAAAACCTTGAACTGATCTAGATCGAATACATGTAGATCATTGAAGTACCTGAAAAATAAATGAAGAAACCTCGTGAAAAATCAGAAGATGCTTGAACAGCAACACAACTCATTCATCTTGCTATAAAGGAATCAAGCATATATTGCCCTTAACCTTACTGCCCCTAGTATCCATGTGTACGTGGGTAGCTCAGACATGGCAACATTAAAGGAAAATATCAAGTTGTTTTTGGTGACAGCAGTAACACACAATTAAGTTTGGCAATCTATATTACAGCGCCGAAAAGAAACTCACAAGGGAGAGGAATTCTAGCCTACGCCATGCCTTGGAAGGGCAGCCTATCCTTTCTTATTGGAAAACAACACAATGGACTAGGATTGAGTACAGTGTAACGTAAAAATAACAGCTGCATACTAAAGAGATAAGATAAAGACATGCCCCTATATCTTAGCTTGCAGCAAAGTGCAATTAGTTAGATTCAAAACATGGGATATTCGTTTCAACTATCAATGTATTGTTCATTTCTGCAAGCGCAATAAATATCGTACGAAGGTGAAAAAAAATGTAGAACTTATACTTGAGCGCAGAAAAGAACAAATGAAGGCTCCCCCATCAAACGAAACATATGTGTTAGCTAACATTCACAAGCTATAATGTAACCAATTTTTTGAAAGCGAATAATGTATTAATCGGCCATTAAACCTAAATAAAGTGACATACAAGTTAACATAAAACCAACCCTCATAGAACTCCATATACAACGAACAGAAATCCATAACAAGGGAGTGTAGATTAGCTTGCATCGACCCCAAGGAAACTAAGATACTAGAACAACCCCATTCCTCACAAAATTCTCGTACTGGCTGACACTTTTTAAATATAGAGAAAAACCCTATGAAAGAGTAGCTGTCACACAGGGACAAGTGATTGGTTACCTTGTGAGCAATGACAGACCTAAAATAAAAAGATCATCTTCCCCGGGCACTTCAAATCTATGAAAATTAACTGGACTCCCAACCCATTTCAAGTTCTCATAGGAGCCTAAGTGGATCCTTCAGAGAAGGCATACAAGAAAATATTTACAAAGCACACAAAGAGAAGAAACTCCAGTCCAGATTATCATGCAAGAGCTTGACCAACGCAGCTCAACATAGTTATTTAAATGACCAGTTTGTCATCAGATAGAGCTCAATGAGGAGATATCATACCAGATCAACCATAATGCTGACCTTCTATACTTCTAACAGAGATATTTTATTTGAACAATAATCTGAGATTTTCCATTTAATGTAATTGAATCATTTTGAGCGTAACAATGAGACCAGGAGCTGACCACACATCAAGAAGTTTTTTTTTTATTTCTTCAATCCATAAGCCAAGTGGAAAGTGAACGGTACCTCTTGGGCATTGTCAACTTAAGAGGTACATCACAAATAAGTATCAAATACTTCGTAACCCTCAGTTACAAACTACAATTCGCACAATGATCCCAACTTGACAGGCATGGCACTTTCTAGAATTTTTTTGGTCAAATAGAGAATAGACAGCACAATGAGCTAATAGCATAAGACAATTGATAAAGGTAAATATTATGACCAACCACAACCAATATGGACCAATGCAACGACCTTACTTCTCTGAGGGTATCATAGAAACCTCCAAAAACAATAATCTTGTGCTTGTACAATACCTGGGGATGCAAAATCGATCATCAGTGATATCAACGAGTTTATTATAAAAAACATATCTCACAAAAGATGTAACAAAATATCTGCAATCACCATCTGTCATTCAGCTTGAATTTTGAGCGTAATGAGGCGGTGATGGGATGAAGAAATAATTAACCTACACATTACCATCTTCATTCTAGTACAAACAAGGACAGATCTATAGAAAGAAACAGTAAAACTACCATACAGCTTATCGAAAAAATGATAAGAAGCCAGCACAAATGGCAGATCAGGACATGTGGGGTTAGAGACTAAGAAAAAGGAATGAGCTTCCAAGTTGTCATTCAAAAACGCTCTTTTCATTCAAAAATAAATTTTTAGTGCCGGAAAATTCTGCATGAGAGACACTAAATGGGAAAAATTAGTTACTTTAAATCATACCATCCATATCATTTGTAATCTATGTTGGGAGGAATGAGAAACACTGAAACACTCATTACTTTGATTCTTCTTCTCTCAGGAGATTCGATCATAATATGCCTTAACCTTGTTATGTAGTGACAACACCTCATTACTTTGATGCTTTGACTCCCAAGAAATTTAACCGTAGTTATGCCTTAACCTGGTTGTACAGTGGCAACATAAAATTCAGATCGCTGAGGTTCAGCTAAGATGGAGCCAATGGAGAAAGAAGATATGTTGCAATCTTCAGAGGCTTATTATGCTGCAAACCATCAATGCTATTTATGTGACAAGAAATATACGTAATTTCGGAGGGAAACTGTTCTGAGATAAAAAGGTTTTCATGTGTTTTTAAAAAGATGACAAAGTGGATGAGATTTTTATGAAATGATGAAGTAGGTCATAAACTCTGATGGAGAGGGATACAACTAATGCAAAAAGGGGTTTTCAGTTCATAGATCGCAGACTGGTACCCCAGACTTTCGGCAAAGGAGATCAAGAGGAAAAATGGATGTAGGGGACGGATTTAAGAGAAATGGTAGGATAAGGCGACACCCCAATAACCTAAAACAAAATTGATTGAAAATACGTTTCAAAAACGAACCCCATTACGACCTCGTGTCATCTTTATAAGAGAAGAAAGGAGTCATTCTTTAACTGGATTCCTAATACATTCATTAAATAACTTGACTCTTAACTGATTAGAGAACTATTGTACAGACTACTATTAAAACGTGACTCTTTCCAAAAATAACTGAGAAAAGTTAAGAACGGAATTAAATCAAGTTTTCTTCACCCATCTTGCGTGCATCAACATTCTCTGTTAATGATTATGCAATACTATCTATTTATTTTTTTTAAAGTGAACTTTCCAAAAATATTAATACATGATGCATAAAGGACAAACACAGAAAAGTTGTTATTTCCCTTAAATGTAATAGAATGCTATCCAAGATTATTGTCTTTATTGTAAATATATAGTGTTTCTTATGAAGAGCTCCCATGCAGTCTTTCCACAATGCTTCATTCATTTAAACCCACAGCTCATAGAATGCATTAAATACAATACTAAAATATAATTGAGGAATCTTCAAATTGCTTATATAGCTTGTACGAAGATCTATCTATAGTTGGATTATGCAACAATGTTTTTAGACTATTAATGATGCTCTCCTAAACAACATAATGTTTAACCTTTATCCTGAGAGAATATATAGTATTTATCGCTTGAACCACAAGAGATGACCGTTAAATATGCATCGCACAAACCCATATCTTCATAAATATTCCTATGGCCATTATTTGTTGCTCCTTTTTTATCAACTTGTAGCCTTACGGCTCAGCCATAATCCTTAGCATAGTGTTGAAAACCAGCAAAAAAAAATTATTTCAAATAATGGTACGAACTAGACACTGAAAAACTAAAAAGAACTCGGGGAACATAAAAAATAATCTATCAGAAATTTTCGGGGAAGGAAAATCAAGAATTATTATGCGATTTTTTCTGATAGACTAAGCATAAGAAACGGGAAAATCCATAAAACAGCTGAAATGAGAGAGAATGTGTTAGAACGTTGGATGAATTTGGTGTATAAAAGTGGAAACAGGACTAAGAAAAAAGATGGCAAAAGTGACCGATAGAGGAAGTTTCTACATGACTTGCTAAACAATGAGATTTCCCTTGTTCCTAGCTTAAAGGTTTATAACTATCTCGGGGATTTAACACTTTCTCCTAGGATCCAAGAGGATAGGACAAAGATCTAGTCACGAAAATAAAGACACAAAGTGATCTATCTGAATGGGATTGGGTTGTTCACCTGCGTCAGTTCACAAAGTAGTTTAATGAGATTACAACATAAAGAACAATGATTGACCACAAGTCAGAAGAAGTGCTTCTATGGAGGACAAGAAAACCAAGGCATACCATTCGATGCCCTGATCTAGCACTCGGACAACCCTTCAAAAGTAGTTGTTCCCACTGGTTTGACTTCAAATCCAATCTCCAGAAATCCTGTGCAAAAGGAACACAAATGATGATGGCAAAATTTCTACACAAACCGAAATGCTCAATGTAAAATGCAGTTCATACAGACACTGCGGTCTAACAGCCATAAAAGAAAAAAAATTAGATCGGATAAGACCATGTCAATTATAATAATAATTTTCAAAATGTACAATCTAATTGATAATGTTGAATAAATTACAAATGCCCTTTTGAAGATTCCGCTGGAACTGTGACATTATCTTGAACAAATGGAAGTCTGGCACCGATGCAACCTCATAATATTCAATGGTAAGGAATTTTTGGGGTTGAAATCATGAAAACGACTTGAACCTATCAAAATTTGGACGGTGTTGAAGCTAATAGATATCCTAGGAAGTCAACAAATATTACTATGAACATAGTAAATTGTTGGATCGGTTTTGAATGCACTTAAAAGACTTTTCACAGAGCTGTCTTTGTGAAACCCATGAATCAGTGAATATCTTCCGGGGCCAATAAATAACCTTCCAAGTTAGCACATACCAATGGAATCAAACTGACTGGATACAGGTCCAATTCATCAATCAGCATTGCTGATAAATAGATAAACTTTGTCCATATGGAATGAGAAGATGAAGCTAGATGAAGAGTTTCAGCATCTCCATTTAACTTTGTTTGGGAAAACATGGTAAGCTAGTCCTAGTCACCGTAATTCATCAATTCATTTCGTCCCAGACTAACTCCCGCAACCCATATGGACCTTCTCAAGTCATAAATACTTATCCGCATGGATATCTGAAGCTTGGCCACCAGTGAACGAAAATACTCTTCAGTCTGTCTGCCTTGGTTAGGAATCTAGCTGAGCCATGTGAGGCAACCCATGAGAATACAAACAACAGCTCACATGGATGCCAGAACATATAGGCCCAAGGAAATGGCCATTAAATCTACAGAAAGCAATTCCACTACACATATGTGATCCTCTTGATTTACTCAAAAATGGGGATGTAAAATTCCTCCCTTGCTCTAAATTGGGAAGTAATGAATGGGAATCCATCAATTCACCCATCACAGATAACGCAGTAGCAATGAAAGCAAAGTCAAATTTTCCAGTCGTCTTTCTTTTCTTTAGACATCAACCAATAATCAATGGATAAGACTCCGATCTCCATTAATTAGCTGCTCAAGAATTGATGAACATTTAAACAACAAGTCTACTTTTGTGAAGAGTTGGAAACTCTTCATATGGAACCCCGATAAGAAAGAATTCTAGTAAAAATGTGAAGCAAGGAGGTTTTCTCAGAACATGAAAGTGTTTCATTGCTTCAAAGATTGAAGAAGATAATCCATAATAGTTCGTCAAGGAAATTAGTCATAAAAGAGAAAGACCAAAAAAAAAAACTGACTTTGGTTGCAAATAATTTTGGCATGTCAACAGGATTTACGACACTATATTGTCGTTAAATTTCTAATTACTGGCAGGAAAAAAATGACGTGTTAACAAGAAAAAGCAAGAAAGAAAAGGTTTTTAAGAAAAGTGATGAGTCGAAACTGAAAAGAAAAAAAATGAAGTACCTTGTAGTGATGGAAACGTTCTTGATTTGGGGAAGTGAACTCACCACCTGAAGGAAAGAAATAAACATGATAAATTTTGGTGGATAGGTCGGTATTCGCCTAAAGACCATAAAGAATAATTGGGCTTAGCCCATGCATACCAAATATATACATATGATCCTTCCAAGCAACTGCCTGGTGTGCACTTCGAGGTGGGGGACTGTTGGGACTTGAGATCAACTTCCATTCATTCTTGTCTATATCATACCGATATAGATCTCCATAAACAAATGTCTACACAATAAGATGGCCTGTTAATGATTTGAAAGTTTACATTTCACGTCCTTACAGAAAATAATCGCACTAATATAGAGCAACTATGGATTAATATAATAGAGTGCAGATTATAAATTTCTAAGATGGAGGATTCAATGCATAATCACAAACCCAAAACCACACTCAAAAAATTCCAATTTCTATTCATAGTAGATGCATTCATCATTTGTTACTTTACCATTTAGACAGCTCTGTCCATCTCTTATCACTAAAATAACCTAAAGAATAATATTTTTCTTTTGAAACATTAAAAAGTGCAAAGAACCAGTTATTTTGAGAGATAGACCTGGTTAAAGAATGTTGATTATATAAAAGGAAACAGCAGCACCACTCTTATCCCAGATTACCAAGCTAAATGTGGACAGAAGGAAAACATTAGAAAGTGGTGCAATAACTTAGCGAGAAATTGACCAATTAATGATGGAAAAAGCAAGCAGTATGTTTGATGGTACTTCAGATTGGAAACATTATGGAAGTAGTCGGGCCTGGCACTACCATGTCCACAGATTTCCCATGACAAAGCAAACACTGATTGATCGAATTCCCATTACAATAATATGAATAGAAAGAAAAGAAATTTCCACAGTTTCTTTCATCACAAAACGAATCACACTGACCTTTTGCCCATTGTAAAATTCACCACCATACATTACCAACTCTGACAGCTTCAACGGGTTAATAACTAACTGAAAAAAGTAAAAAATAGAGGTCATGGTTAAACTCACGAAATAGATAATTAACATGCAGCATAAGCAGAATAGAAACTACATGTCTCAATATGTAGAAAAAGTTAAGCATTTCAAATCACGCAGGGCTTTTTTTAATTTTCAAGTTATTCGCAATTCATCAAATTTAGGCATGCAGAAAGTAACAATAAGGGTAGCAATTTCCGAAAATAATTTCCCAAAATTACAATTAACTACTGAAAAAACGTTTTTTTTTTAAATATGAGCTACTTTCTAGTACACAGACTCGTAGGAAGAAAGCAGCAAACACCCACCGAACAGTTCGACCGGGGTGACGGCCCAGGGACATTATCCTGGATGTGCACCTCCTTCTTCTTGGCCTCCTCTTTCTGGATGTTCCTCTGATAGATAGAAAGAGGTTACCAAATCAACGAGGCCCAAACGCGAAAAAAATTAAATAATAATAATAATAAAGGTACAGCCATCATGATTTGCCTCTTCCTTACAAGAATGGCGTCAATGTCGTCCTCCTCGGAGACCTTCTTGCCCTCTCGGCGGGCGCGCTTCTCCTCAGCCTTGGCGGTCTTCCTCTCCGTCTTCTCCTTCCCCTTCCCGGGTTTCTTCGCCTTCTTCCCCATCCTCAATATTCCGAGGGCGGCAGCCGCGGCGAGCCCCGAGACTTCACAGCTTCCGCCGGCGGACCGTTGCTCCAAGACACTGCCTTTTCACACGGGGGGGTTTAAGAGGAACCTGACATCGAGCCCGTCTTCTGGTGAGCAACTGGGCCGTACCTACCCAAGCCTCGGCCCAATAAATGGTTTTCCAGATCCCGGTGCAGCCCAAACGAAGCTTTTAATCTCACAATAATTATTTTTATAAAAGGTTAATTATCTTTTATCTTGTCTACGTAAGCCCTTGTAAATTATAACGGGATTACTAATTCCTCCCTTTTTAATTAATAAAAAAATTAATTTTGGGCAAATGAAACATATTTTTATCAAAAAGACAAATAATAATATAACCAAGATCTCCCTCTCTATTTGTCCCTACCCACTTGGTCTATCTATCCATGTTTATGCCAGATACTATCATTTTTCTAGAAGAACTATTATCATTTTCTGAGCAGATAATACTACTTTTTAAAGTAATGTTGTTGTTAGTTAATCAAAGAGGCAGATTTTCTAATGTTACGTTACTTTATTGAGATATATTGCAATTTTTACAAGTAAAAAGTTTGAAAACTTACTCTTAGATCCGAAATTGTAGGGACTTTATAAAATTATTTGTTAGTTCATACAACAAGAACCAATAGATTAAACTCCCAAGTTGATTCCTAACCTTCAAACATTCACAAGAAAGGCATCTACTTGATGGTTACCATGTGTTCTACTATGGAATTTAATCTATTTTAATTGCACATTAAATCGTGAAAATATTTTTACATTAACGTAATCAAATATATAAAATTAATATTTAATGTGATAATTTCTCGAAACCTCCAATATTGTGAAAATAATGTAAAACACTTAAAGTAGACATTTTTAGAAAAAAACAAGAGAACTAACACTAATGGGTTTAATTTGATTGGGTCTAACAAAACCCTTTTCAGTTTTATTAAATTAGTATAAAACAGAAAATAAAAAATAACCATGAAAAGTAATTTTTAAGGGGGGTGGGTCAAGCAGGGTGACAAGGGTTGAAGTAAAAGACCCCCAACAACCTCAACATAGTCTGAACCTCCTATTTTGCATCAATCAAATGGCTTCATAACAAGAGCATTGAGACGTACATAGACCATATCTGACTCTACTCCATGGGGAATCATTTCCCTCTACTTGAGGAAAGTACAGGCAAGGAACAAGAAGACATAGCAAACCAAGGAAGTCATGAGCTCAAGCGTCCACATTGGCTTCAGGAGGAATGATGGGATTGTTGGCACCACCACTGACCCGCACAGCCAGCCGAGCACTAGAGCTCCAAACCTGAGAGGAGGGGCATCCATGGATCAATCCATCTTGTCATGGAGAGAAAACCAAAGACTGTTTCTAGTTCATCAAATATGTACCCAGTTACAGAAGCCCTAGCGACATTACTCATCTTGTCGTTGAGGAAATAGATGCATGAACCAAGGGAAAGAGCAAGCTGTATGATGAAAATTAGAAAAGAAAAAAACAGAATTAGGGATGATTGGTTAGGATAATCAATTGCAAACAGTTTACTGCAAAAAAGTGTAAATGCTGTGTGAATTATGCTCCTATATACGATGCTGGATGATTAGTGTGAACTATTCTCCTATATACAAAGAAAAATTAGTATTCACAGACACCCACAGGCGCTCAAGAACATAAATACTTGTATAAGGGACTCAAAAATGCAGAAAATTGAACACTAATATGGAATCAAGTGAATAATTTAGAGAGATAGAGAACGTACTTGGAAGGCAGGGCCGGTCTCAGCAGAGTTCATTATGCTCCAAGCTGCCATGAAGGCAAAAAGAAACATCCTTCTGAGAATCACATCCATGGGAGGAAGCTCTACATACTCGAGCAATCTCTTGAACCATGGAGGAGACTCTTCCACTTTCTTCTTCAGCCTGGTCTTCAGGTTTATCTTTGTCTTCTTCCGAAGTCTGAAACTGGACATTAGCAGCTTATCATATGCATCTTCTATAGACTCGTAGCTGCTCTCATGCCCAGCATACTGCTGAATGAGAAAGTTCCGGGCCTCTCTAACTTCCTCTTCTGAAGCATCAGCACCCAGGCCAAGACGCTTGTAGGGGTTCCATACATGCCGTCGAGGATATTTCAGCACAGTCCCTGGTAAGAAAGAATTAAAAAGGACGAAAAGTTTATTATATTCAGATATCGAAGAGAACAATAAAAAATAAAGGAAATTCTAGTTAATTAAATGTGCCCAATTAGATCAGCAATTCGGATTGGTTTGACTGCCTCATCTGACAGAAAAAACGTCCCATATTCAGTACAAGATGAAATAAACGAATAAGAAGATATTTTTGGTTCAAAAAACGATTCCACAACAGGCTGAAGCAGGCAAAGGCTCATCGTTTATGACTCAACAGAGCACCACATCAAAGTCCTGCATGCTTATCGACACTCGTCTTCTTCATTATCAATACATGAGGATGGATCGGTTATTTGGCCCATGGGAAACATGAAGGCACTATCAACGTTGAGCAGAAACAATACTAGGGATCTGGAAAGCGCAGAAAGAAACGACAGAACTAAAATAGCTCAATCCTAAGATGGCACAAGCAACTTAAAACTAATTAAAATTTGCTGAATAATTATAGCTCCTAAGCAGAGACACAATAGCCAGAAGAAAATATGTGCGAATTCAGAGAAAAAATACATTTATAATAAAATTGAACGAGGGAAATCTAGCAGTCTCTTGCCTATCTTGAAAGCTACACATCTTTCATTGTTATTTGTTTAGCTTGATGGGCTCAAGAATAACTAAGTATCAGCAAACCAAGATCTGAGCGCTACATAACTAAGTCAAAATCGCAGCAGGTTATAATAAATGCAGGGTCGAGCTTACAAGGATTGTGACTTAAGGAAAACCATGTATCCTCTCGTTTTCCTTGTAAAAAGTTCATTCCCAGTATTTTGTAAAGAAAGACAATGCGCCCTCTGCAGTACGAGCATAATAAAAATTGAAGAATAAAATTTAAAAATAATCGTAAAAATTTTATGATACAACAGTTCTCAACTAGGATGAGAGACACTTTTTCTGTAATTTCGCCCCTTCTTACTATCTTTCAATGCCTGACTATGGAGCACAAGACAAAGGATAACAGGGTGCTGCCAAGAAGAACATGGTTATGGACAAACATTAATAGAAGGCAGTTTTGGATGAGGATGTCAACATTTGGCTCATTTGAATAGAGTGGGCTTTCTATATTATGAAAGGAACCATTTGAAACAGCATCATTTATATTCCATTTTCTCATCAATTTAAACCACATTTAATTCGTTTCTCTACTTAAGCATGTATAAGAAAAAGGAAATGTAAACAGGAGTATGAACATCGCCTTCTCATCTGCTCTTGAAAGACTCCAACGTTCTTGTGTTCTAATCTTTAAATCTGACCACGCCCACAAATTCAACCTTAACATAATGCACATATGAGCGGAAGGGCATCTATCTCCATAATTTAGTGATTCAGAGCGTGATGGTTGCCTCAATCACAACAGCAAAAGAAATATCCAGTTCTTCGCTAATTACGCTACTTATATAATTAAAAAAAACGAATAACGTGGAATAAGTAAAAAAAAATCTCAACGAGATAAGGAATCAAGAGGTCATCTCCCTTCATGTACGATGAATTCAAGAAACACTTCCAAGGATAGCTCATCGTAAACCAATGATATAGAAAGCGCAATAATGCCCAAAATCAACAGGTAGGACAGGCTATGTGAGCATATTCTCCAAAAAAATAGACTCACCAATATAACCTTCACCATCGTCACCGCCCACTGTCAAAGAAGCTGTGCACCTGATGCTCCTTGAAGAAGCTTGCAAAGGGACTGCCCTTCCATCCTTCAAGCCGCTAACAAGCCCAAAATGAAACGGCCATGAATTTTAGGCCATGAAGAAAAAGTAGATACTCACAAAGATATAAATCCCAAACATCAGTGCACAAAACATAAATAAATCTCAGAACAGCGAACAATCCAAAGGAAATAGGAAATCCAAATATTATCGGCAATAAACTGTCGAAAAATACGATACATCGAACCAAAGTGTATAAAGGAAGCACAAGGGAGGAAGAATACAAATCAAAGCGCCGGCGAAGCCGAGGAGAGAGGCCACACGGGGGGTTGGCGAGGGAGAGGGCTCCCATCCCGCTTCCCTTCCACGCAACGAACAGCGGAGCAGCAGCCCTGGACACAGTCGCTCAGGATAAAGAAGGAACGCCGACCAAAACCCTAGCCCTGACTACACAACTGACACAACTACCAGCGACCTCCTTCCTCCTCCCTTCGTCGGCGTCGCCACTGCGACCGCCGTCGGCCGAGCGGAAGGAGGAAAGCAAGGAAGAAACATGACCCATCTAATCTGCACCGCGAGCTTAATCGTGAAGCCACACGCGTGAGGCCGCTTCACGAGTGCGGACGGCCGAGCATCCGATGGGGACCACCCCGTCACCATCACACACTTGGAATCAGCCGTTTAAACGGTGGAACTTACAACTACAGTAATAATATGAATATTCATTTATGAACTTTACAAAATAATTACGTCTTCAACACTTTTCCACTGAATATTTTTTATTATTAAAAAAAGAGATAATAAATGGCCTATTTTTGAGACAAGCTCGAGGATGGCAGAGAGAGAAGGGGAGATTAGGAATGCCAACATATTTCTCGTCTTCTTCTTTTAATATTAGAGAGAAAGATATTTTATAAATGGCAATCCCCAAATAGATAAAAAATAGTCAATTTAGGAAAAAATGTGCCTATTTTATATAAACATATAAAAAAATGAAAATAGAAAACGTAAACTTACTTTGATATTACATCATGTTGAAAAAGAAAAGAGAAATATCTCTCTTATTGTTTAGTTTATGCCCCTCTAATATATGAAGTGTTAGGGGCCTACCAATTCAAGGCAATTATTAGGCCAAGAATTGAAGATGTGGTCAAACACACTATCTAATTAATGTAATAGTTGTAAGGTTAAAGACTCGTCTCCATACATATAAATAATAAATTTGTCTAGATTGATTAGGAGGCCTGCAAAGGAGTTGTAAGGTGGACCCCCAAGGACTCAGTGAAGGAAGCATGAAGAAAGGAAAAATCATAAAAAATAGTTAGGGATCTCTTGGATTAACCTCTATAGTGATTCTAAGGTCTCCTTCATAGACCTCTTTCTCCTATCTTGTTATGTGAAGTTTAGATTTTTTTAAAAAAAATCCTAGCCAAATTTCCAATGTACATCCTCTATTCTTAATATCTTGAGATGAGCTACAACACCTAGCAATAGCAATAGGTGGTACAAGAACTTAGAAATAACATTGAAGACTTGAAAATAGAACTCCATAATCTACTAGTGATAGAGGTAGAAATATTGAAGATTATGTCCATAGAGAATGCAATGAAATATGTCACAAATACAATAGTGCAATTCTTGCAACAACAAGACAATAATGAGTAATGCTATAAAATACAAAGAAGACATTCTATCAATTAGAGGGGCCAACAAAACTGTACAAGAGGAAGTAATAGAGGTAATGGATTAACCACAAACACACATTTACTAGAGGATGATCAATTCTTGTGAGACCAGGTCACAAACATCTATGGAGGATCTAATTGTAGGTAGTTAGAAAGGACAATTTGGAATTAATTTTATTAAATAGGTTGATCTTTCGCATATAAATGATATTGAGATACAAGGTACTAGTAAGAAGGATCAATTGATGGTTACAACAGTCAGTAGAAATGGCAAAACTTTAGTATATTTCAAGTGAACAGAATTACAAAATACATTTAATGTTTGGGAATACATTGAATAATACTTGAGGAATATATTTAGATCAAAATTAGTCATCTTGTTTTGAGGTTAATTTCAAGATAAAAAATAATAGAGGCTAGTGGGTTGAAAATAGGTGAAAATGTTAGCTATTGTCCAACGCATTTCATGAAAATTTGGAGGAAATTTTTAGAACCATTTCATTAAATGACTGAAATTCAAAATTCATATAAAAGTTATGTTCAAGTCCGAAGGACTCATTGATATTATGAAAATTGCACAAGTCATGGAGGTAAAATTGGTAGTTTAAAAGTTGTGATTGAATTGAGAAGCAACAAATTGATGAAGCTTGCATTATATAGTGTCAAATAAAAGTAGTCAACTTAAGGGCAAGCTTAATAATGAAAGATTACTTACAAAGAAAATGAACAAATAGAATGACAAAATAATTTCATTTTTCTTGAGGTTTTTGTGTTAAGTTTGGGTTTACTATCAAATAGGGAAGTAGGCATTGATATGCCCAAAGTTGTTGTTAACTTAAACACTCAAACTTAATATTTATAACTAAAAATCAAAATAAACTCCCTTTAATTATAAGGATTTCAGGTCAATCCTCAAGGAAATTAGAAAGTTGAAAGCATCATTTTAATATAGAAAGTGTGAAAAAATAGAAATCAAATAGTATTTTTTAAAAATTATGAACACCAAAAATATCTAACTCTAAAAATTAGAAAAAACTAAGAAAATATAAATGACTAACTCTAATTTAAATATCCCTATAAAATGTCTCATAATTCAACGTGTCACTCTCTAAACAACAAGATTACTAGATGTCGAAAATTAGAAATTGAGAACATAAAAAAATAAAACAAATAGTGAAAATAGTTATTATAAAATCTAGAAACCTAAACTAAACTTATTCTAAAAGTGAGAAAATTATAGAAGATAAGAAATTAATCATGCTACATTTTCCCAAAAGATATTAACCTAATTCCATGTGGCACTCATGAAATCAAATTTATTTCAAGAAAAGGTCAAAAATACAGAAAATTCAGGAAACAATTCTTTTAAAACCTAAAAACATATTCAAAACAATTTTTAAAATCACGAAAACATTAGAGAAGATAAGAAACTAACTATGCTATATTTTTCTAAAAGATATTACTAATTCCATGTGGCACTCATGAAATCAGATTCAATCTACAAAAAGGTTGAATCAAGAAACTTAGAAAATGATTCTCAGTGATGTGCATAATGATTTTGTCACGAAAGCACAAAAACATGATCTTTAGACAAGATTGAATTTGTAAGGAAGTAAGGTATTCGGAAAATATCATAAATCTAAACTCAATTGTACAATTTGTTTACCTAGAAAACGATTTCCAATTATATGCTTGATGATCTATCACCAAATCACCAAAATATGATCTTTTGAAGAGATAAAATATTCATTGGATTTTTATAAAAGTAAGATATTTAGAAAAAATCTTAAATCTAAAAAAAACTAGAGTTGATACAAATGTCCTTTATCAAAAATAGAGAACATAACTCACTTGAAATTCAATGAATGTCATTTATTAAATGATACTCATCATCCACAAAATAAAAGAGAGTCTAAGGAGTTAAGAAAAGAGAGAAAAAGGTGGAGATGTCGTGCTTACAACCTTAAGGCCTCAGTTGTCTATCACTTTGGTGCCACCTCCCTTTTTGTTTTTGGTTGCCACCTCCTATTTGAGAGTAAACAAGTTTCCTTTCATTTGCCCTCTCTAAGATTCATATACCAACACCCTTGGGCCTTCTTTCTCCATCATTTGCATGGGTTGATTAAGCCCAATCTTTTGGGTGCTATGTTTAATTTTTTTATGTCCCAATCTGTCCTTTCCCATGTTTGGGGTCTTTAACTTTTACATTTCATGCTAATTCTTCTCACTTTAGAAAATTCATATAAATTAATCTCTTTTGAATAAAATTCTTAAATTTTAGATCCCTTTTCTTGGTAAATTGAGATATATTCTCAAGGTGATAAAACCTTGGAAAAAGGTTAGAAAATATTGCTAACTAAATTCATAAATGTATGATTTAGATGTAGCTACATTTAGAGTTATTTATACATATCTTTGACCTTTGCTCTAATATGATGAGATAATAATTAATTGTTATTATGATTCATTAATACAAAAATAAAAGAGATAATTAATTAATTATTAGTGATAAATAAATATTTATCACATCCCCCCCACTAAAGCATTGCTAGTCCCTTAGCAATGAATATATAAAAAATATAGACTAGCACTAATCAAAGCATCAAAAATAAATATGCCACCATTCAACTTATGAATACACCTCAAATGAAGCATGAACTTTGAATCCTATGACAAGTAGGGAATATGCACCAAGTGCTTGTCTAAATGCTCTACAAATCATGGTATGTCTTCCACATCATTGTCATTAGTTCTCATCCAAATACTATGTGGAACCTTGCAAAGGTTTAAGGTCAACTCTTCCAAGTCCCTCAAGAGTATCTATTACCCTTCTATCCCTCCTTTCTACCTAATACTCTAGGCATCAATTGCCACTAGGGTTGGGGTAGGCAAACTTTAAGTTTTACATGCATTGCCTTTCTGCCTTAAGGAGGTTAGATGATGTAGAGTGAATGAGATTTAGAAGATGCAGAGTTTAAATCATGGCACTTGTAGGGTTTAACTTTGACTTTGACTTTTAACTCTTTTTTTTTTCCCTACCCTGCTCTTTTACCCTTGCCCTTTGTATAATTTTTTTATTGACTAATACTTTTCTAGGAGCTTCATACTCTTGCTAGCTACCAAGGACTTATAAGATAATATATCTCAAGGTTACTAGGCTGAGAAGAAGGCCTCTAAATAACCCCAAGGGGTTGGGGAAGATTAGCTCTCCTTACTAGGAGATGCAAAGTAGATGAAACTATCAAACCTATCCTTAAGATGACAATAGAGAACCTTTTAATGCTAAGGACAACAAGTGAACAAGATTTTAGTTTCTCTCCTCTTCTTAGATCATAATCATTGGCATGACTTAAATCACATAAATTTAAAATTTGTAAAACTAAAAAAAATACTAGTTTTCAGATATTTAGAACTATTTCATAAAAAATATATCAATTATAATTCAATAAAAGTTCTAAAAATAGTAGAAAAATTTTAAGTTGATCAAGGGATGTAATGTAATATTAGATAATATCTCAAATTCTTTTCAAAGAATAAGATTTTTTATAAATTTTAGACTAAGAAATTAAAATAAAATATATTTAAAATATGTGAAAAATAAAGTTCCACCCGATAATGAACAACTTAGACATTTGCTATACTTTTTTTCAAAGTCTAGAAAATGATGGTAGAAGTTAAACTAGTTAAAAATAATAAAATAAAATTTTAATATATCACGTTAATGATGCATTAGAATCTTGAGTGTTCGAAGGATTGTCATACAACGTCCATGACCTCAAAAACTCTCATTGGACAAGGATGATAATTAATTAAGTCTAGAAATTAATTAAGTGGGTTGTCAAATCGTTCTGATGGAGTAAAAAAATGATAATTTTGTGGCTCTCTAGTAGCTGTCACCTGACATAAATGAGTTAGATAGAGGTAGAGCATGTGTTAAAAAATTTCATCTTTAGGTTTGCATAGCAAGAGGAGGCTTGTTGTATCTAGTATATTCTTAGGAGGTGGCGACTCGTCTATTAGTAGATCATCTTCTTCCTGACAACAACTAGTTCATCGATCAATCAGAGATGATTTACTCAATGAATTCATAATTCTTTTATCATAAATCATTCAATAATTTTAGTAATGATGCTCCACGAATTGCATTGACAAGATTTTCATTGATGATTGAGTGATTTTGATAACTTAATCCTTCACTAGTGATTTATAGAAAAAATATGATTTAACCAAATAAAAAATATATTTTTGTCTTTACTAATATTTGAACCATCGCTAATCACCTACTTAGATGATAGAGAGAAATAAGTATGTGAATACCTTTATAAAGTGACATCATCAAGGTACCTCTTTCTAATAAACAAGGGATATTTGAGGTACAAAAATTATTAAACCATTTCAAAAAGGTGTGACCACTACTTTTAGTTCCACATCGGTGTGGACTGACCAATAGAGGGCATGTGTGCATAAATAAGGGCCGATGTGTCCCACATCAAGTCCCACATCAAGTCCCACATCCTCCCTCGCTGGTCACCTCTTTCTAATAAACAAGGGATATGTGATCCTCCTTATTTATGTCCCATGCTTGTTGGCCACTAATGATGTGGAAAGGGAGTGATGCACATGTCCCCTTTATTGGTTGGTCCATCCTTAGTCGCTCAAGCCTCTACTTATGGCTCTACTCAATTGTGCTTTCGACTAGCTTGTACGCCTGGTTGGCTGGTGGATTCCTCTCTTTCGACGTGCTCTACTCGACTTATATTTTTATTTTATTTTATTTTTCTTCATTTATCTCATAAATAAGATTATAAAATTATATAAATTAATACAAAATTATATAATTAATTAAAAATTTACATTAACGAACTAAAAACTACTTTTTATAATTTAACATAAATATAAGTCAATTTATTATGAGTTAAAGCTAAAACTATATTATTAATTAATTATTAACTCATAATAATGAAGACTTATCAATCATTATCTCATACTCATCCAAGATTGACCCCTTAGGAGGATCACATTGAAAAAAGAATACTGACGTGACTCAGTCATTGTATATTAAATCATGCAAATCTAAAATTTATAAAACTAGAAACTATGAATTTTTGGATATTTAGAAGTATTTATGAATAAATATATCAATTATAATTCAATAAAGCTTCTAAAAATAACAATTTTCTAAGTCGATCATAGGGATGTAATATAATATCTAGTAATTATTTAGAATTTTTTGCAAAAAATATGATTTTTTATAAATTTTATAATAACAAATACAAAGAAAATATATTTAAAATTCATGAAAAAGGAAAATAAGGGTGCGGACATTAGGATGATGTCAGCACCCAACGAACGCAAATTGGGCAGAAAAAGAGTTCCATCTGGTGATTCTTACGTAAGTAATTACAAATGATTTAATTAATTAAATTAAGATTTGTAAAAGTTGAACGAATTGTAATTGAATAAAATATATTTTGGTAAATTAAAATCACAAAAATTATCACTAAATGAAACGTAAAGTAAGTTGAAAGTAGGAAAATAGAGTTCCAATATTGTGACGGTGATGCATCGACAATGTACTAAAATCTTGAGCGTTCAAGAGGATCGTCATATAGTGTCTACAGCCTTGAAGGCTTTCTTTGAACAAAGACGACGTGAACAATCTCTAGATCTTCTTGTGAAGTCTAGAGATCAATGAAGTGAGTTGTCGAATCATCTCCAGTGACTGTCACTTGAAAGAGTAGAAAAATGACGACTTTACGGCTCTCCGATAGCTGTCACCCAATGGAGAAGAACTGGATGGAGGTGGGGTATATGTCAAGGAGCTTCATCCTTAGATCCGCACAATAAGAGGAGGCTCTTCATCACATCTGGTACGCTCTCAAAAAGTGGCGACTCCTCTCTCGGCAGATCGTTTTCTTCCCAATGATGGCTTTTTCATCAATCAATCAGAGATGCTTTACTTGATGGATTCATGATCTTATTATCATAAATTGTTCAATAATTTTAGTAACAATGCTCCGCGAATCGTGTTGAGAAGATTTTCACGAATGATCTAGTGATTCTAGTTGCTTAATCCTTCACTAGCGATCTACAGGAAAGTCGTGATAATCAAATAAAAAAAATATGAGTTTTGACTTTGAGAGGATTCGAACCCGCACTAATTGTCCGTTGTTTCTATGGAAGGCCGATTTAGTCCCATATTGGTTGTGCATTGATTTTCGGGTGAATATATACTTTTCACTTTTTTTTTCATTCCTTCTCCTCTATACTTGATTGAAAACATGAAAAAAAAGATAACTAAAATAAACAAAACAGATGATATCTATTTAAAGTTTTGGGGTACTTCCTAATAGTGCTTTCTTTAATGGCTTTAGCTAGACTCATGTAAACCAATGATTAGTGAGCCTTCATCTAGGGTTCTTCCTCCAAATGTGCTTATCATGGTAAGCCTTCATCTTCATTCCTTAGCTCTTTAAGTTCACTCATTTGGAGAAGTATTGCTTTGCCCCACTCATCTATGTCCATATTCAACTGTTTGATGGCTTAATATGTTTTATGTTCAATCTCGATAGGAAGTTGACAAGGTTTACTAAATACTAACCTATAGGGTGACCGCAGATCGCGCTGAAACCTTTTCCATTCGATTCGGAAGGCCAAAAACTATCGGTTTCGAGCTATTACGCATCGAAAATGCTGGATTAAAGCCTTTGTTTCGCAATTTCCTCATCGCGAAGGTAAACTTCCGGAGTTTTCACTCCAAAGGTAATATCTTTCTATTGACTGGGTGAAATTTCATTATTTTTAGTTCAATAGAATCGTATTTGCCTCGTTTACCATTTTCTCTTCTATATCATTTTTATTTGATGCTTAGCTGATGAGTAGCTCACAGATTTCATCGGGTGACCTCCGTCGCCTAGATGAAAACTCGCCTGACGAATGCGAGCGAACAGAAGGCCGACATATGGCAGTAACGGCCTCCTGTCCTCGCCTTCTCTCTCCGCCGGTTGATGTGACCAAGGAGACGGCTGTAAATGAGCTGAACGGTCAAACCACGGACGTCCGTGATTCGACATCAACTGGCATCTTCCCGAGGCCGGAATCGGAGGGGACAACAGTCGACACCGTCCACACTCCCTCCGGGAACGAGGCGACGGCAGGCGAAGAGGCCCCCTCTGATCCAACCATTGATCGTATGATCAATGGTCAGAATCAGCCGGCTATAAAGGCCTCAACAGCCGTTACCAAGGCTCCGCCCTCGGACGGTCACGGCCATAACGGCCAACTTGATCCAACTGTTGATCTTGAGATCAACGGAGGGGATCACGTGGCCATAAAGGCACCGCAACCTTTTGCGATTGCCGATGCCTCGGCTGGGACGCTACTGACGTCATCAACGTCAGACACTGCGGACGATGGCTCGCCATCACGGGCCGAGCCCCGCTCAGCTGGCACTGTATAGGCGCGGCCCGTGCGAGCCTCTGGCAAGGTGGCTAGAGCTGAGCCGGCCCAGGTAGTGCCATCTGAGGCCACTTTAGCCCAGGCCATGCCGGCCCAGCCCATCGAGGCTGCGCCGGCTCAGGACGCACCGGCCCAAGCCCAGGTGGCCCAGGCCGAGCCTGAGCAGCCGGCTCAGGCTGCACCGGTCCAAGCTCTTGCCCAGGTAAGGGGCAAGAGCCTGCGGCCCAAAAAGAAGATAGGACGCCGACTTTTACGTCCACCCTCGACCACGTCCTCTAGGCCTACCCCGAGTCAACAGATTGAGCCGGTTTTACCTCTACCTATAGGGGCCCTTAGGCTCTCTCAAATTGAGCCCCTCGAACCAACTAGGATCCCAACACTAGTTGAGACCTCTATATTGGCCCCAAACACATCCCTTGGGCACACCATATCTACACCTAGTGGGCTAGACTCTACTATGCCCCATAGGTCAAACCCGACTATGCCCACTGGACACCTATCATGGGCGCAACGAGTGTCTGGACCCTCTACCCCCTCCATAGAGACTGTCACACCACAAGAACCGCTGCGTCAGGTACTATTCCCATTCTATGATACCACTGTCCCAATGCGAAGCTATAGCGAGGATGATGGGAGGAGGACAATAGCTTTTACTTATGAGGAGGTTTCCCAGATGGCAGCCACATTCCAATATACCTTAGTTGGTCGTTTCGTAGTGAAACGACCAACTATAGGTGACATAGAGAAGATTTACTTGGCACCTGGAAATTTCCATGGCCGAGTCTCCATCGGAGCTCGAGACTATCGTAGCATATACATCCGCTTTGAGCTAGAAACAGATTATCGTCGAGCATGGAGCCGACGCACTTGGACAATGGGGGAGTCTACCCTCCATACCCACAGATGGACACCACAGACCAACATAGGGCACCAAGCACATCAATCCCATGCGATTCCATTATGGGTGGGCTTCCCTGGCCTACCTACCCATTTATTTATGCCAAAGGCACTTGAGTCTTTGGCAAATGCGGTGGGAACATTCATATGCCTTGACCCAGGCATAAAAATGTTCAACCGGCCAGGATATGCACGAGTTTGTATAGAGGTGGACCTAATGGCCCCTTGATGTGACTCAGTCGTTGTATGTTAAATCACGCAAATATAAAATTTATAAAACTAGAAAATACGAATTTTCAGATATTTAGAAGTATTTCAAAATAAATATATCAATTATAATTCAATAAAAATTTCGAAAATAGTGGTAATTTTCCAGGTCGATCACAGGGATGTAATATAATATTTGGTAATTATTCAGAATTTTTCTCAATGAATACAATTTTCTTACGAATTTTATACTAGGAAATAAAAAGAAAATATATTTAAAATTCTCGAAAAAAAGAGGAAATAAGGGTGCGGGCGTCGGGATGATGTCAGCGCCCGGCGAACGCGAATCAGGCAGAAACAGAGTTCCGCCCGGTGATTCTTACGTAAGCGATTACAGACGACTTAATTAATCAAATTAAGATCTGTAAAAGTTGGAAGAATCGTAATTTAACGAAGTATAGTTTGGTAAATTAAAATCACACAAAGTATCACTAAATAAAGCGTAAATTAAATTGAAAGCAGGAAAACAGAGTTCCGGCGTCGCGACGGCGATGCGTCGGCGATGCACCGGAATCCTGAGCGTTCGGGAGGATCGTTGTGCAGTGTCCACGACCTCGAAGGCTCTCCTTAGACAAAGACGACGTGGGCAATCTCTAGATATTCTCGCGAAGTCTAGAGATCAATGAAGTGGGTCGTCGAATCGTCTCTGACGGCTGTCACCCGGCGGAGCGGAAAAACGGCGACTTTGCGGCTCTCCGGCGGCTGTCACCCGACGGAGAGGAGCTGGATGGAGGTGGGGTGCGTGTCAGGGAGCTTCATCCTCAGGTCCGCGCAGCAAGAGGAGGCTCTTCATCGCATCTGGTACGCTCTCAGGAGGTGGCGACTGGTCTCCCGGCAGATCATTCTCTTCCCGACGACGGCTTGTTCGTTGATCAATCGGAGATGATTTACTCGATGGATTCGCGATCCTTTTATCGCGAATCATTCAGCAATTTTAGTAGCAATGCTCCGCGAATCATGTTGACGAGATTTTCGCCAATGATCTAGCGATTCTCGTTGCTTAATCCTTCACCGGCGATCTACAGGAAAGTCGCGATAATCAGATAAAAATATATGAATTTTGACTCTGGGAGGATTCGAACCCGCGCCGGTCGCCCCCGCCTCTTCTGAGGAAGGTGTGGGTTTAGTCCCACATCGGTTGTACGCCGAGTTTTCGGGCGAATATATAGTAATGTTAGATTTGTGAGCAAAGTCTCTTCTCTCGCGTGTACGACCACTCCTTGCCCCACAGTCGGCTGGCCACTGGTGACGTGGAAGGGGAGTGGCGTACGCGTGCCTGTCGGTCCCCAAGCTAAGCCGCTCGAGCCCCTGCTCGTGGCTTACTCCCCGACTGTGCTTCCGACCTACTTGCGGGCACAACTGGCTGGCAGGTGACGTGACTCAGTCGTTGTATGTTAAATCACGCAAATATAAAATTTATAAAACTAGAAAATACGAATTTTCGGATATTTAGAAGTATTTCAAAATAAATATATCAATTATAATTCAATACAAATCCCAAAAATAGTGGTAATTTTCCAGGTCGATCACAGGGATGTAATATAATATCTGGTAATTATTCAGAATTTTTCTCAATGAGTAAGATTTTCTTACGAATTTTATACTAGGAAATAAAAAGGAAATATATTTAAAATTCACAAAAAAAAAGGAAATAAGGGTGCGGACGTCAGGATGACGTCAGCGCCCGGCGAACGCGAATCAGGCGGAAACAGAGTTCCGCCCGGCGATTCTTACGTAGGCGATTACAGACGACTCAATTAATCAAATTAAGATCTGTAAAAGCCGGAAGAATCGTAATTGAACGAAGTATAGTTTGGTAAATAAAAATCAACAAAGTATCACTAAATGAAGCGTAAATTAAATTGAAAGCAGGAAAACAGAGTTCCGGCGTCGCGACGGCGATGCGTCGGCGATGCACCGGAATCCTGAGCGTTCGGGAGGATCGTCGTGCAGTGTCCACGGCCTCGAAGGCTCTCCTTGGACAAAGACGACGTGGGCAATCTCTAGATAAAGCAGGAAAACAGAGTTCCGGCGTCGCGACGGCGACGCGTCGGCGATGCACCGGAATCCTGAGCGTTCGGGAGGGTCGTCGTGCAGTGTCCACGGCCTCGAAGGCTCTCCTTGGACAAAGACGACGTGGGCAATCTCTAGATCTTCTCGCGAAGTCTAGAGACCAATGAAGTGGGTCGTCGAATCGTCTCCGGCGGCTGTCACCCGGCGGAGCGGAAAAACGGCGACTTTGCGGCTCTCCGGCGGCTGTCACCCGACGGAGAGGGGCTGGATGGAGGTGAGGCGCGTGTTAGGGAGCTTCATCCTCAGGTCCGCGCAGCAAGAGGAGGCTCTTCATCGCATCTGGTACGCTCTCAGGAGGTGGCGACTGGTCTCCCGGCGGATCGTCCTCTTCCCGACGACGGCTTGTTCGTCGATCAATCGGAGATGATTTACTCGATGGATTGCGATCCTTTTATCGCGAATCGTTCAGAAATTTTAGTAGCAATGCTCCGCGAATCGCGTTGACGAGATTTTCGCCGATGATCCAGCGATTCCGGTTGCTTAATCCTTCACCGGCGATCTGCAGGAAAGTCGCGATAATCAGTTAAAAATATATGAATTTTGACTCTGGGAGGATTCGAACCCGCGGCGGTCGCCCGCCCCTGAACAAGGTGTGACGCGGGTTTAGTCCCACATCGGTTGTGCGCGAATTATTTGGGCGAATATATAGTATTTATAGGCAAAATCCTCTCGCGTGTACGACCACTCCTTGCCCCACAGCCGGCTGAGCACCGGTGACGTGGAAGGGGAGTGGCGCACACGTGCCCCTATCGATCCAAGCAAGCCGCTCGAGCCCCTGCTTGCGGCTACTCCCCGACTGCGCTTCCGACCCGCTTGCGGGCTCGGCTGGCCGGCAGGTCTCCCCATTTTGCAATATTTTTATTTTTATTTCTTGTTCTTCGTTTATCTCAAAACTAAGACTGTAAAAATCGTATAAAATCACATAATTACCCAAAAATTCACGTTAATCAACTGAAAACCACTTTTCATGCTTTAACACAAATATAAGTCTATTTATCATGAGTTAAGGCTAAAACTATATTATTTACTAATTATTAACTCATGATAATGAAGACTTATCAGCGGGTCCTCCCCCATTTTTGCAATATTTTTATTTTTATTTCTTGTTCTTCATTTATCTCAAAAGTAAGACTGTAAAAATCGTATAAAATCACATAATTACCCAAAAATTCACGTTAATCAATTAAAAACCAAAAATCATTCTTTAACACAAATATAAGTCTATTTATCATGAGTTAAGGCTAAAACTATATTATTTACTAATTATTAACTCATGATAATGAAGACTTATCACCCCTCTACAGACGACTCTCGTTATACGTAGTGGAGATGATGAACTTTATCAACCTATTATTTACGAGAGATTATCATATTTCTGCACATGTCGTCAGAAGGTAGGTACACCACAAGCAACCACACGAGCCTTTTTAGTACCGATCTTATATGACGATTATCTCGTCGAAATGAGAAAGGATGGTCAGAGTGCTCGTCATCCTCAGAGGTCGATTGCCCCTATGGCGGCTCCACCTTCCTTACCTCGGAAGGCACAGGAGAAGCCTAGTTCATTGATTGAGACACAGCATGCACGGCGAAAGCCGGCAGCTAGACGCCCTTCTTCCATCCACACAGGGGGGAAGAAAGGAACACAAGAGGCTACACATTCCCCTTTAGGCAAGGGAAAGAAACCCCTAACCTCAAACACCTTTGAGGTCTTAGAGGCTTTAGATGAGAGAGACTTTGAGGGACTTGCATAGAGGGGAACTAGGCCTTCCAAAGGGTTAGCATCCCCCACTACAAAGGACTCACCTAGTCAAGCTCCACATACTAGATCCCCCCAAGCTATCCGACCCCCCATACTCACCCACCCCACTCCACCCATTAGTGTCTCTCCACCACCTAGCTCCTCCTCGCTCATTCACTCTTCCCCACATAGTAGGAGCCCTTCACCTCTTAGTCCCGACCGACCGAGGTCTACCCCTTTCTCTGAGGGTATCAGCTTGGGCACTACCCATCCCCCTCAAATCCCCGTCGAGGATCTACTAGGAGGGCCTACCCCCAGCACACTTCCTATTAGTACATCTTACGTAGCCCCCCGTTCTGATTCTTATACCCTCCCCCCCTCTCCCCCACTACACCCGCCAGATCAGTTCCCTATACTTGATCCACCACCCGCTGATTCTAGAGAGAGCCCCGATAGAGGACAGTGCTTGACGAATCGTCAAGCACTGCACCCATCCTCCTCATCTAGTGCTCATGATACTAGTGGCCACACGACTAGTACCCATGAGGATGGTGGATTTAAGACTGACATTGAGACTACCTACCTAAATGAGGGATATCAGACGGAGGCTAGGACCACACGACTCACTAGATGCTCACCTTACTCCACGAGATCTAGGACTCGTGGGGCCACTCATTAGATCATGATACCTAGCATCATATGGAATTGTCGAGGTATAGGTAACCTCGAAACCCAATTCTATATAGCTAGCCTTATCAAGCAGTATCGACTAGGTATAGTAGGCCTCATCGAGCCTATGATATCATCATATCGTATCCAACCTTTACTTAGGCGATTAAGTATGGATCATTTTCACTCCAACCCCACGAATCATATTTGGCTCTTTTGGACTAGACCATACTCTATGGAGTTGCTAGTTGAGGGATCCTAGCATATCACTATGACGGTTCGAGATCTCACCCAAGAGTTCACCTTCTCGGTCATCTATGCATCACATAGATCCAAAGAAAGGGAAACTCTTTGGGCGGACCTAGTTCAGTACGTGAGGGACTACCCTACACTAGTTGAGTCTCCTTGGTACCTAGCAGGTGACTTAAACTGTGTTCGTAATATTAGTGAATGTCAAGGTGGGCGGATCCCTAGGGCCCGTAATATGGAGACGTTCAATGATTGTATTTTTTGATTAGCTCTTATTGAACCACCTACATCAGGCGAGGCATGAACATAGAACAACAATCGAGGGGACGCTTTGATTTATGAGCATATCGATCGCTGTTTCATCAACAGCATCGCCATGATGCGACATCCCATATTAGTCACGATATTACCCCGTTATAGGTCAGATCACACCCCGATCCTCATAGTCCCTAAAAAGAATTTGAGTACCCACAGACCTCCCTTCAGATTTCAGATCATGTGGCTTCAACATGAAGACTTTCAGAGTTTCGTACGGAATCACTGGTATGGACATATCTCAGATTCTCCTATGGAGAACCTTAGCTATAGGTTAAGGAATCTCAAACTCCACCTTAAATGGTGGAACCGACATATCTATGGGAATGTCCATACCCAGGTTGATGCACTGCAAAAAGAGTTAGCAAAAGTTGAAAGACTACTGCAAGCTAGATATTCAGATGCTGCTTGGGAAAGGAGGAGTAGAGTGAGAGACCAACTTGATGAGGTTGTGCGACAACAGGAGTTATTCTATCTCCAAAAATCACGCATCCAGTGGTTACAAGAGGGTGATAGAAACACTCGTTTCTTTCATACATCGGTCGCTCACCGCTCACGTTCAGATTATACCTCCCTTTTAGAGACATATGATCAGGACCTTTCCCGCATGCAGGAGGCAGGGGTTGAGTACTTTTGTACTCTCTTAACCTCTCAGCCGATCAAGATTTCTGATGATATGCTCACTTTGATCCCATCATTAGCCACTCACCATGAGAGCTCTCTCACGACGGCCATACCCACGGGAGAAGAGATCAAGGAAGTAGTTTTCTCTATGAGCAGACATTATGCACCCGGGCCCGATGGTTTCCCAGTTGATTTTTATGTTTCATGTTGGGATATCGTTGGCACTGATCTCATTAAGGCTATCAAGGAAATCTTTCGTCATAAAGTCTTTACACGAAGTTGGAAGACCACCTTCTTTGCACTCATATCGAAGGTGACTACCCCAACTTCATTTAGAGACTTTCGACCTATTAGTTTATGTAATGTGTGTTATAAAGTTGTATCTAAGATCGTTATACGTAGATTGAGTAGTTTCTTTGATAGACTTATATCTCCAGAGCAATGCAGATTTGTCAAGGGACGGTACATTCACGATAACATCATGTTAGTACATGAACTAGCACAGTCTCTTGGCCATGACTGTCGAGGCTCCAACATCATCATCAAATTAGACATGGAGAAGGCCTTTGATAGGATAGAGTGGAGTTTCCTCATTAAGGTTCTTAGATGCTTTAGGTTCACCGACGACTTCATTGACTTAGTCGATGCATGTGTTAGGGAGAATCACTTCTCTTTATTGGTGAATGGTAGCTCTACACCATTCTTCACGGCCACGAGAGGTCTATGACAGGGCAATCCACTATCACCCACCCTCTTCATCTTAGTCGAAGAAGTCCTCAGTCGATCCCTCACTCGAGTGATCAATCAAGGACTTATCCAACCATACTACTCGAAGAGGGGTTGTCTGATCATCTCACACTCCCTCTTTGCTGATGATGCGATACTCTTCCTCAATGGATGTGAGACATCCATTAGAGGGCTCATGAGTATTATCTCGAGGTATGAGCGAGCTGCAGGTCAACTCGTAAATGCCTTGAAGAGTAGCTTCATGGTAGGCCCTTTTACCCCCATAGGGACCATACGACGCATCTAGGGCCTAACAGGGTTCTCTCGTGGACACTTACCTTTTGACTATCTAGGATGTCCTATCTTCCTCGGCCGTAGGCGCATACACTATTTTGACGCCCTAGTGGGCAAGTTGAGGAAGAAATTAGCGAGATGGAAGTTACAGCTTCTATCCCCTGGAGGACGGATTCAGTTGATACGCCATGTCCTCATGAGCATGCCATTACACCTTTTGGCAGTCCATGAGGTACCAGACACCGTCTTACAGACTATTAGACGGATATGCACGTCCTTCCTTTGGGATGGACAACTTGAGGGACCTCGTCGCCAACATCGAGTTTCTTGGGAGAAAACATGTCGACCTACGGATGAGGGTGGCCTAGGTATTCGGCGCCCTCAAGATGTACTCAACATGCTTCAAAAGAAACTCGTTTGGAGGATGAGGACCACACCATCGGTGCTAGGCTCTTTTGTGTCAACCAAATATGGTGAGTGGGCTTGACAGCCGGCTGACATCAAAGGAGTCAAACGATGGGCAGACTGACAGCGACATTGGTTAGAGATGGTGCCCCTTATTCGTTGGCGAGTAGGGCGAGGCGCGATCAGTGCCTGGTATGACACTTGGCTAGAGGACACACCATTGGCCAGTTTTACCACTTTCACATCCTCTTGGCCTCGCTTGACGGTAGCCCAGCTTCTCCAAGGAGACACTCGTCTACTTATTAAGAGGCATGGACTACCGTCGGACTTGTTACCAGCCATCACCATGATTGAGACGAGTTTTACTGAGGACCAACCCATCTAGACACTTACTGTAGATGGCAGTTTCTCTTGTAGCTCCTCTTGGGAGCACTTTAGAAACCGCTCCCCAAAGACATTTTGGGGAAATCTCATATGGCATCCGGCCATCACACCTCGTGTTTTGTTCTTCCTGTGGAAGTTCATGCACCGAGGACTACCCACCGACGATCGAGTGATTGTCATCGATCAAGAGGTGGAAAGAAGATGTCATTGTTGCTCTATCACGACAGACGAAAGTATGGAACATCTATTTTTGCATAGTGATATCACTGTCGAGTGTTGGCGTCAACTTCTAGTGAATTGGCTTCCAATGCTCTCGTACAGACCTACGAGACCACCACTAGAGGTCTTTAGGAGAGTCATTGACTCACCGACGAGTGTCAAGCTTAGTCCCTTTATCCGTATCTCCATAGCATATATGTTATGGGAAATATGAAAGGGACGTAACTCATCTCGATTTGCAGGCCAAGTGATGCGTGTCACAGAGATTATAAGGCACGTAACACAATGGCTTCGAAGTACTCATTCCTTAGTGCCAAACAAAATGAAACGCTCACGTTCTATTTGTGAGGCTTTTGGGCTTTGGGGACTCCATATCATACCTACACAGACTTGGACTACTATTCGATCTGTTAGATGGACACCACCGAGGGTTGGACAGTGGAAACTCAACGTCGATGGAGCATCTCAAGGCAACCCTGGACCATCTGGAGGAGGAGGTATTTTACGTGATAGTATAGGATGCATTCTCTTTGCCTTTTCAAACTTTTATAATATACGAACTAATATTGAGGCAGAGGTTATGGCAATACGGGATGATTTGCTTCTTTGTGAGGAGCAAAATATTACTAATATTGTCTTAGAATATGATTCCAAAGTGTTAGTGGACATGTTACGTGCAGACTCTTGTCCTCATTGGAGGCTCAAGAATATCTAGGCAGATATCATGCGATGTCGAGGACGCATCACAACCATTATGCATCAGTTCCGAGAAGGGAATCAGACAGCCGACGCCCTTGTTACGCATGGAGTCAGATCGCGTCGGAGGACAGTCTTCTCTTTTTGGCAAGACATGTCCCTCGCAGCCCGAGGTGCTCATAGACTTGAGTGACTCGGCATACCCTCTTTACGCATACACCGCACTCCACTACTGGCCCCTCCACGGCAGTGGCGTATTGCTTGGAGGAGATCAAGGGTGGTTACTATTGGCCACTGAAGACCACAATGGAGATACAAGTATATGTTTCCTTTGTTTCTGTTTTCAGGTCTATCACAAGTCACAACCATGACATCATCATGGTGCTCATCCCATACCACTGATGTGGAATGCATTTTATCTATCAACACAAGACGGATAACAAGGCACATCGTAATCCACTCGGGTACACTACATCTAATCATTACTCTCTTCATAATCACCTCACATCTATTATCTATCACCCTCAAGTAGTGAGGACATAGAACTATCAGCACATGTTGACATCTACCCACTTTTGAACTATAGGTCTATAGCACATCAGACCTGCCAAACTAGTTGTGAATCGCCAACCTAGCACCTCTCTCAAGATCTCATTAGTACCATCAGTCAGCTTGAACCCATGAGAAAGAAAGGATCTATATCCATAGGATTGACCCTCTCTCTTCTCTCTCTCTCTCTCGATTCTCTATTTCTTTCTCCCTCCCTTTCTCTCTTTTTAAAAGAAAAAAAAAGAAAAAAAAGAAAAAAAAAAGAGAGACAGCCTCCTTCTTTTCTCGGAATCACTAGCCCATCATAGACAATTAGTGGAGGGTGAGGGAAAGGGCCCTCAAAAAAATAAAGTAAAATAAAATAAAATAACGAGCAACCTATTTTCCTTCCCCCAATCACTAGACTCCAAAGGGAATTACCCTTGTACACCAAATAATGGGCATTAGTGGAGGGTAAAAGAAGAGGCCCTCAAAAAAAAAAAAACAAAAAAAAAAAAAAAGAGAGAAAGAAGAGAGAGAGAATAAGAGAAAAGAAAAGAGTTAGAAAAAGAGACCAAGTCATTCCTCGTGGGGTGAAAGGTTCCTTACCTACTTAGAGGAAGTACGGCAACTGATGGTACTAACAAGATCTTGGCCAGAGGGATTAGACATGTGCAACACTAGGAAGACAAATTCATATTTGGGCTTATTGTCATACTCTAGCATAGTTCTATACTCCTCACTATCTTAACAATTCTTTTCTCACCACTTTATATCATTTTATTTCTTTCTTAGAACCACTTATTGCAGCAAATTCTTGTCTTGCAGGAACACCTCATGGTGCACAACATGGAGGTTTACACATCCTACTATTGTCAACCAGATATTCCAACTTCATGAACTCAAAGGCTCTTTCAGCCCAAATGCAGATCAACCGATTTCTTTAAATATGATGAGCGAATTGGAGTCTATCTCTAGTATTATCACATCCCCTCTAAAAAAAGAGGTCTTTCACCCTCCATGTCATCCTCGCCCCTTGTGCAAATGAGATCCCACTTATGTAACCTCAGAATGAGGTCAAACTTTTATCACTCAATCAAATTTCTTCATTAAAAAAAAAAAAAAAAAAAAAAAAAACCTATAGGGTGACATTCCTAAGGGAACAATAAGCTGCCTTTATTGGCCCAAAGTGCATCTTCTAATTTTTGAGAGTAATCTTTCATATCAACTTTAATGATTTTTTGAAGTATCCTCTTGATTTCTCTATTGGATACCTCTACTTGATGATTGGATTGTGAATAATAAGGGGTAGAGATATTATGGGTGATTTCATTATTCCTCAATAGTGTCTTGAATTGAGAATTTATGAAATAAGTATCATTGTCACTAATAATGGTCCTAGGGCACTCAAATCTAGAGAAAATATTACTTTTCAAGAACTTCAAGACAACCTTATAATCAGAAGTCTTAGTAGGTATTGCTTCAATCCACTTGGAAACATAATTGACAACCATTAAGATATACTCATATCTAAAATAAGGAGAAAAATGACTCATGAAGTCTATCTCCCAAACATCAAGCCCTAAATAAGGTTCCTTCTTCTAATGGCACATGTGAATAATTGTTTCCTTGTTCTTCCTCTACAACACATCTTCTCAAAATCTTATCAAGCCCTAAATTAAAAAATAAGGTTCATCCCATAAGAAATATTTAATTTTAGCAAAGAAAAGATTTTTCTCATGAGTAGACTATCCTTTAAGTACTTGACTTGTTACCAAGTAATTGATGATGTGTGCATACCAAGGAGGATTATATGTACAACTAATATTTAAAATAATCTCATAAGGAAAAGGGTCATTTAACTCCTTATTATCATTTTCATTAATCTTAGAAAGATGATCAACAACTACATTATCAAATCCTCATTTATCCTTAATCTCAAGATCAAACTCTTGTAATAGCAAAATCTATCTAATAAGTCTAGGCTTGGAATCTTTCTTTCTTAAAAGGTATTTCAAAGATGCATTATTAGTGTAAATAATGATTTTAGGTCCAAGCAAATAAATTTTAAACTTCTCTAAAGTAAAGACTATAGCCAATAACTCTTTTTCAGTGATAGTATAGTTAAATTGAGCCTCATCTAATATCTTACTTGTATAATATATGACAACTAGATTTCCTTCAATTCTCTACCCTAAAACAACACCTATAGCGTAATTAGAAGAATCACACATAATTTCAAAAGCTTCCCCCAAGTAAGAGATCTCAAAATTAGTGTTCTATCAATGTATTTTTAAGGTGTTGAAGGCTTCTAAACACTCATGAGAAAAAATACATTCGTTGTCCTTGGCTAAGAGAGAAGTCAATTGCCTAGAAATCTTAGAAAAGTCTTTAATAAATCTTTTATAAAATCCATCATGTCTAAAAAATGACCCAAGTCCTTTTAGGGTAGTAGGATGAGGTAAATCTTGAATTATACATACCTTTGCTTTATTTACCTCAATTCCTCTTTCACTTATTACATACTTATGAATAATTCATTCTTTGTCTATGAAGTGACTCTTTTCCCAACTTAGAACAAGTTTGAACTCCACACATCTAGTCAAGACTTGCTTGAGATGTCCTAAACACTCGTCAAAAGAAGATCCAAAAATAAAAAAGTCAACCATAAAAACTTCAACAAAATCACCTATCGTATCATAAAATAAATAGATCATGCATGTTTAGAAAGTGGATGGAGTATTGTATAATCCAAAAGGCATCCTTGTAAATGTAAGTGTACCAAAAGGACAAGAAACCAAGTGAAAGTACTATTCTCTTAGTCATTATGGTGAATTACCAATTGATTATACCTTGAATATCCATCAGGAAAACAAAAGCATGTTTTTCCAATCAACTTTTTAAGAATTTGATCAATAAAAGGTAAAGAAAAATGATCTTTTCTACTAGCTAAATTTGACTTTCTATAATCAATGTATACCTGCCACTCAATAGGCAATCTAGTTTTTATTTCTTCACCATGCTCATTAGTTGATATAGTTAGGCCTGATTTTTTGGCACAACTTGAATGGGACCAACTCATTGGCTATTTTATATAGGATAAATAAAATTAGACTCTAATAATTTAATAATTTCATTTTTAACTACTTCCACCATATTTGGATTTAGCCACCTTTGACACTCACAAGTAGGTTTAGTGTTTCTATTTAAAAAAAAATCATGCATGCATATATATCAAGACTAATACCTTTTAAATCAGTCATATGCCATCCTCATTCTTTTAAAATATAAATCAATTTTGATTCTTTATCAAAAGTTAACTGAGATGCAATAATGACGAGCATAGTATCATTAGGTTCTAAAAGTCTATATTTGAAGTTATCAAAAAGATGTTTAAGGTCTAAATCATTGTGAGCATTCAAATGTAAAACAATAGGTTCATGTGAAGGATTTTCAAATATTTCTTGCAAATCAGAAGATGAATTTTCAGAAAAAGTATCAAACATACACATCTTATCAATGGTTGAGTCAACTACATCATACTCTTCTTCTTCATCTTCTTCTTTAGCAAACTTAGCTACCTTAAATATATTCAATGGCACCACTATAAATATCTAATATTCTAATGGCACAATTTATATTAGCATGAGTTGTAGCCAAAAATGGGCGTCCTAAAATAATAGTTGATTCTTTAAGATTTTCAAGTGACGTCAAGTATAGAACTAAAAAATTAACTAGAAAATAACATCGTTCAATATTGACTATAACATCCTCAATTAACCATTTAAAGTCATCTCCTTTTCAAAATCAGATGTCTTCTCAAAATGCTTTATATTCTCAAAACCGTTTTCCACAGCTTATGCACAATAGAGTGCCTTCAGGAGTTCTATCTCATGTTCCTAATGGTCATTTAGAGAATACTGTTAATTCTTTGAAGGATCAACTGCATCAGCAACAGCAAGCTATGGCACAATTAATAATGCAAAATCAACAAATTTTTTAAATGTTTCAGAGGTCAAACAATCAAGAGAATCAACCAAATGAGCTAAACCCTAGAAGGCACCCTACTCAAGCCATAACTAATCCTAAGAATTACCCTCCTGGTTTTGCTTCTTCTATCCCTAATGCCTCCATGATTAGTGGTCAAGGCCCTGGTAGCCAAGGATCCCAAATAGAATAGATTAAGGAGGTGATGAGACTTAGGAATGATAAGTTGATACCCAAAGCCATTAGGATGCCTTCTAGTGATCCAAGCTTACCTAAATTAGGGAATGATGTGCAAGAGAAGGAAAATATTATTTCTCACCACGAAACTGAAATTAGGGATAGAGAGAATGAGGAGGAAAGGAAGAAAGGAAAATCCATCTTGAAGGAGCTTAACGAGAATGGATAAAAAAAGAATAAAAAAGGGATAGAGCTATTCAAAGAGACCCAAGCTTATAATTCATCTATTACTTTTCCTTCATCTCTTTTTCCTCACTTGAAAGATAAAAAGAAGCATATTGATGAGTATGAATTACAATAATTATTTTCTAAAGTTCAAATTGAAATCCCTTTGGTTGATGCTATTTGACATGTTCCATCTTATGTTAAAATTTTGAAATATCTTTGTACTCTAAAGAGATAAATCAAGAAATTTAATCTTTTAGCTAAGATTAGCACCATCTTTTTCAATGAAATGCCTAAGAAAAGAAAGGATCTAACGAGCCCACTTGTCTCTTGCTACCTAAAAGGTATGACTTCAAATAAGGCTTTATTAGACTTGGGTGCTAGTGTAAATTTCCTTCCAACTTATCTTTTTGAACATTTTGATTTAGGAGAATTAAAACCCACTAGTATTATTATCTCTTTAAGGGACAGATATATTATATATCCTAAAGGGTTAACTGAGGATGTTTTATAGTCAATATTGAAGGATGATATTTTCCAATTGCTTTTTTAGTTCTATACTTGACATCACTCTAAAATCTTATAGAATCAATTGTTATTTTGGGACGCCCATTTTTGGCTACAGCTCATGCTAATATAAATTGTGCTATTGGAATATTAGATATGTATTGTGGTGGTCATCATATTTCATTGAATATTTTAAGGTAGCTAAGTTTGCTGAGGAAGAAGATGAAGAAGAAGAGTATGATGTAGTTGACTCAATCGTTGATAAAGTATGTATGTTTGATACTTTTTCTGAAAATTCATTTTCTGATTTGCTAGAAATATTTGAAAAGCTTTCACATGAATCTATTTTTTAACCTTTAAATGCTCACAATGATTTAGACCTTAAACCTCTCCTGAATAACTTGAATATAGATTTTTAGGACCTAATGATACTGTGCCTATCATTATTACATCTCATTTAACTTTTGATGAAGAATCCAAATTAATTTATGTTTTAAAATAATATAAAGATGCATTAGGATGACATATGAGTGATTTAAAAGGTATTAATCTTGATGTATGTATACATGATAATAACAAATTAGTGGTTGCATCTATGTATTAATATCTTATATATAGATGTTAATTAATAAGTAGAGAATGTAGTTATATGTGTTACCAACTCATTATGACATTCATAATATTTTATCATCTAAGTTCTAATACATATTATGTTACATATTTTATTTATATTATGAGACTACCACCACTTGACTTTTATGAAGTCAAGTGGTGATTCTCTCACATTTTTTGATAATTATTTGAATACAAAGACTTAGGTGAACTCTTATTATGAGTTGGAAGTAATAAAAGAAGCGCAAGTCTTCAGCCCAATGAAAAACTCAGGTCTTATGGAGAGGACCGACCTAATATGTTTATGGGCTCTAGAGAGGGCATCATCTTGGTCTAGCCCATTTGGACTTAAAAAGACTATCAAGAGATAAGATTTAGGCTGTTCATCTTAAGATGCCTTAAGATGATATAAAAAAAAACCAGAGTGTCACCCTCATAGAATGATTTGGACCATCCACCAAGAGAGTTGGTTATTGATCATAACCATCTATTAGAGGAGCCTAACTCTCGAGAAGATTAAGTCATCTCACCCCCCTCTTGGAGAATGTTTTTTGGCTCTCTCTCTAGTAGTGGCTAGTCAAAGAAAACATGAGGGAAATCAAGGCCTAGTCAATGGCATTCTCATGCCCAAGATCATCGTGGAGAAGAAATTACTTAGAGTGTATCAAGATCATCACGGATCAAGCATCACTCGGCCTAAGACTGACACACAATGAGGTTTGTGCAAGATTTATATTTGAGATGTTCTTGTAATCCTCTCCATTGATAGATTAACTTTTAATTCAAACTAGTTTTATCATTTATTTCATCATTTTATTGTATTAGATCTATTCTCTTTCTTATGTCACATTTTTCATCACTCTTGTTTTCACCCTTTCACATTTAATTCTACCCTTTGCAATCTCAGTGTATATATATATATCTATATAAGAAATAAAATAAGTAGAATTCGTACTCTCATTACCAACGCTCCTTGAGGATTGACTATTGTTTATCTTAAATAGAAAAGTGAGATTTTATAAATATTAATTACCTAAACTTGGTTATATCACGACAACATATTTAACCTTCAAATTCAGTTCGTCAATGCACAAATTATTTTTGGACAAAAAAACTAAATCTACTTATGAGTGTCAAAGATGGCTAAATCTAAATATGATGGAAGTAGTTAAAAATAAAATTATTAAATGGTTAGAGGCCAAAAACTCATATCACCTTAGAGCCAAGTAAGGTTTTCGTAAATATATGTCCCTACCACTACTCTTATTTCCAAAAATGAAATTGGGAAACTTTTACATGAGATGTGAAAATCAAGTACCATTTAAACTTTGTCAAGTCCATATGTCAATCTGGTCCTTTTGGTAAGAAAAAAAGGCAATAGCTAAAATTTTATTTGGATTACATAGGTCTCAATAATATCATAACGCTAAGCAAATTCTCAATTCCCATTGTTGAAGAATTAATTACACAGTATATTGTCCAAACTTGATACAAAATCAGGTTAGTATCAAATTCATATACAAAAGTAAGGGATACCTAAGATTGAATTCAAAACCCACAACACTTATTATGATTTTTTGTCAGTTTTTATTTGGACTAAAAAATAATGTGATCATTTTTCAAGTTTGAATAAATTGAATTTTTTAGTCAACTATTTAGAAATGTTTTATTAATGTTCTTTGATGTCATTTTGGTCTATAACTTGGATACATAAACACATAATAAACACTTGGCTCAGGGTTTTTACTTTAAGAAGACCAGTTTCATATAAACATAAAAAAATATATTTTTATGAACACATAGATCTAGTGTTTTGGGTATTGGGTGTCAAGTGATGGTTTGAAAGTTGATGATAAAAAATCGAAGGGATGATAAACTAGTTGAACTCTACTAATTCTAAAGAATTACATGACTTCTTTAGTTCAACAACATAAGATTGATGCTTTTGTGGTAAATTGTAGAAATAGTATCTAGCCTCTCATTCAACTACTCAAGAAAGACTTGTTTAACTAGAGTGAACAAAGGGATGACTTGCTTAACTTGTTTAAATTGGAATGATCAAGAAAGAATTGTTTAACTTGTTTAACTCAAGCAACAAAGGCTCTAAGAGCTAAAATTTGTGATGATGATAGTACTAATATTAATATTATATGATTTTTCTTAACCTTTTGAGTTGAACCCACTAAAGTGAGAGCAGTGCTCATGTAGAACCACATGTCAATAATTTATTTGAGTTGAATTATGTCCACCCAAAATACTTGAGGTTACTATATTCATGTGAAAACAAGTCTATGCTATAATAGCTCTCAATTTGAGATATTATTTGATGGGGTACCCCATTTTAATGTATGATGATCAGCTTAGTTTGAAGTATTTCTTTGATTAGCACCACATATAACCTGAGCACTAAATAGTTGACCAAAATATTTAGACTTGATTTTGCTATTAGCTTTTAAGCTGAAATCAAGAATCATGTGATCAACGTCCTCTCAAGGGTAACATAGATAGAACTATAGGACTAGGTGAAACAGTAAAAGAGGAGGTGAATTAGGGTTTCAAAATTTGATGATTTTTATTTTAGTATATAGTTATATATATAGATATATGTGTTGACATGTGTATCTTGTCTCTCAACTCTCTCTCACTAAGAACATACATATTCTTATAATTGCTCACCCCTCACCTGGCTACTCCTAGTACCAAAAGAAAATTCTTTATGATATTCACTATTTTGCTTAGGAAATATAGACCAATGTTCATAGACTCAGTCATTCAACAACTTAAGTTTGTTTCATCAAAAATTCAATCCTTCTAAGACTAAAACCCACTATCTACACCTCATGTTTTGCCTAAACCACTATCCCCTCATCACCTAAGTACCTTAAGATCAAATCAACTTAAGAAGATGTCACAACATTCTCATGCTTCAATGATGTAGGAATAGTTTAAGAGAATAGGTTGAATCTTTATATTCTCAATTAGTTTTTGATCCTCAAGTCTTGTCTAGTAAACCTTTGTCCTCTAATAGTTTCTTGATTTTACAAGATCTCCAATGTTCAAAATATTTAATAAAATATTTTTAATTTTCTGAAAAATCTACTTTGTTACCTCATTTTCCTATGCACTATTAGGGACTTTTCAACTCTCTCTCTATATATATATCTTGCCCTCTCTCCTTTCTTCTATTACTTTTCTTGAGATACTTTTTTCATAATCTAGGATCTCAATATGTTGTGTATTTAGAGCCTTTTTTATCTTTGTTTTCTAGCTTCCTTGTGCAACTCCCTCAATACTAGTAAATTGATTGTATTGTGTTAAACTCATATTCCTTAGACAAACTATGGAAAGTATTGCACAAACCTTGTGCAACTCCCTCAATCCTTGTGAGAAATTAATATTCAATTTTTTTCTACCAGCAACTAAATTTCCAATAGGTGATTTTTCAGTCATTTTTGCTTAAAAAAATAATCACCCATGGTTTTATTATCAATAACCTAATTCTAAATAAGTATAGATTAGAATTATTTTTGTGACTAAACGTGTTGACAAAATCTTGCTATGCTATTACAAACTAAACTTTTACTCTTGGTTTTGACCATGTGAAAAAATATACTTCAAATTTAATGAATAGAAGGATAAAAGAGCTTAATTGAGAAATAATAAAGAACACAGTCTCAGAGAATGAGATATTATGTCTATAACCATAGTCATTCTCTATTTGTGTATGTATCTAGTTTTTTCTTGTGTTTGTATACTATCCATTTGTAGGTGTGTTGAATCTAGTTTGACATAAGTGAGGCCCATATAACTAGATCAAACCCATTAGGTCTATTCCAATATAAATACTTATATTTGTTTCATCATTAATTAATTTGTCATTTTTCACCTTTTCCTTTCTCTCTCTTCAAATGCAAGCCAACTACTATCCTACTACTAGTAATGTCTATGACAATGACCAGTGCTCTTAATGGCTTCACTAATGTAGCCTAAGACACAAGTTGAAATGTCAACTTCAAATTTGGGTTCTCTTATCTTGACTTTAGGTTATAAAGTGAAAAGTACGAAAAAGGAGCCCACATATGTCACCAAGGGGTCAGGGGTCTGAATTTGAGCCACTTTATGTCCTTTCACTTCTAGAAGATACTTTATGTCTCATTCTTTCTAGAAGAGACTTTAATGTGATTTAGTCTATACCTAAGATTTATTTAGAATCTTTGACTATCAAAGTCTGTACCTAAGATCTACTCAGGATCTCAAACTTTTAGGGTTTGTTTAAATAATTTTAGAGTAAAGTATTTTTACAAGATTTGCCTAAGATCTTAGTATGTCAAAGTTTGTTTTAAGTCATTTTAGAGTTAGTCAAACTTTGGGAGTGCCCAACCTCCTTTCTAGGCTTATATAAAGGCCTCCATTGTGACTTGAGGTCCTCACTTTTTAGTTGAATTAGTTTTCTCCACTCTAAGAACCTTTCTCTCTTGCTTGTGGATTCAGATACCCCCTTATGGATTCAAGGGTTGAAGACTTCGAATTTGTGGATTCAGAGGTAGGTTTCTTCCCCAAGATTAGAGTTTTGTGGATTCAAGCCCATATCTTGTTTATTTTTTGTAGTACCACTACGTCAGTTGGTATTAGAACAAGTCAACATTTCAATCAAGGTTCAAAAATGTCATGAGATAAATCTGCTCATATTGGTGACGATGATTCACCTGAAGTTTTCTTATCTCAAAATTAGATTTTATTACATTTCAATATTGAATAAATGAAAAATTTGATGATATTAGTGATACCTTGAAACAACTTTTGGCTAGAATGAGTGTATTAGAGAGTCATTCATGCCCTCCTAGAGATCATGAAATCAGACGTCCTCAAAAAGTTACTAATGTTGAATCTTAATCAGATACTCATTGTTCATCTTGTTCTACAAGTTCTAGATTAAAATTTGAAGAAAATGATTTATGAGATTTTCATATGAAGATTGACTTACCATGTTTTAATAGTCATTTGAAGATTGAAGAGTTCTTAGATTGATTAGTTGAAGTAGAATGATTTTTTGAATTTATAAAATTTTTTGATGGAAAATAAGTGAAGTTATTGGCTTATAAACTGAAGGGTGAAGCCTCTACATAGTGGGATCAATTATAGATCACATGTATGAGATCAAACAAAGAACTTGTACGATCATGGGAGAAAATGAAAATGCTCTTGAAATTTCATTTTCTTCTCCTTGATTATGAAAAAATATTATATCAACAATATCAAAATTGTAGACAAGGAAATAGATCAGTTTCTGATTATGCTGAAGAATTTTATCATTTATCTTCTCAAATTGACTTGACAAAATTTGAGTCATATATGATTTCAAGATTTAAAGATAGTCTTAGATGAAAATTCAAGACAAAGTTATTTTATAGTTATTTTACAAGCTTAATGATATCGTAATGGCTGTAGAGCATGCTGAAGCCTTATTAGAGAAAGGAAAAATCAGAATTTGAAATTTTAGAAGTCAGAATTCAACTCTTCAATCAGATAGAGGAAGATCTGCTGTTATTTCTTCCACATCACATAATGGGCGACTGAATCAAAGTTTTGTTAGATCAAGTGAAGTAAATCCTTCTGTCCAAGTCTCTACTAACAAAAATCTTTATACTCCTAATATCATTCCTAAATGCTATAGGTGTGGAAAAAGTGGACACAAATCAAATATAGCATGGTAAACCTTGCAAATTCTATTGAAGAGGAAACAAAATATGAAGAACCAGAAGTTGAAGATAAGGTAGAAGAAAATTTTATTGAATCGGATATTAGAGATACACTATCACATTCACTTGTAATCAAGAGATTAATATATTCATAAAAAAGAGAAGAAGACCCACAACACCATAACATGTTCAGAACAAGGTGTACTATGAATTTTAAGGTATGCAATATAATCATTGATAGTGGTAGTAGTGAAAATATTGTCTCTTCTATGATGGTTAAAAAAATAGATTTGAACACAAGCCTACACCCTCATCCATATCAAATTTGTTGGATCAAGAAGGAAATAAAAACTAAAGTTTTAGAAATATGTTTGATAAGTCTTCATTATCATGAGTTAATAACTATTAAATAATATAGTTTTAGCCTTAACTCATGATAAATAGACTTATATTTATGTTACAGTGTGAAAAGTAGTTTTCAATTAATTAACATGAATTTTTGGGTAATTATGTGATTTTATATGATTTTTATAGTCTTACTTTTGAGATAAATAAAGAATAAGAAATAAAAATAAAAATATTACAAAATGGTGGGACCCACTAGCCAGTTGGGCCCACAAGCGGGTTTGAAGCGTAATTAGGGAGTAGTCATGAGTAGGGGCTTGAGCAGCTTGGCTTGGACCGATAGGGGCACGTGTGCAGCACTCCCCTTCCACGTCACTAGTGGCCAACCGGTTGTGGGGCAAGGAGTGGTCATACACGTGAGAGAAGTGACTTTGGTTATAAAGCTAACATTACTATATATTCACCCAAAAAATCGGTGCACAATTGAGGTAGGACTAAACCCACGTCACACCTTCCTTAGAAGAGGCGGGTGACCGGCGCGGGTTCGAATCCTTCTAAAGTCAAAATTTATATATTTTTATCTGATTATCATGACTTTCCTGCATATCGCCGGTGAAGGATTAAGCAATGAAAATCGCTAGATCATCGGTGAAAATCTAGTCAACACGATTCGCGAAGCATTGCTACTAAAATTGTTAAACGATTCGTGATAAAAGGATCGCGAATCCATTGAGTAAATCATCGACGAACAAGCCGTTGTTGGGAAGAGGACGATCTATTGGGAGATGAGTCGCCACCTCCTGAGAGCATACCAGATATGATGAAGAGCCTCCTCTTACTACACGGACCTAAGGATGAAGCTCCCTAACATACGCCCCACCTCCATCCAGCTCCTCTCCATTGGGTGACAGTTGCCAGAGAGCCACAAAGTTGCTATTTTTCCACTCTGCCGAGTGACAGCCGCTAGAGATGACTCGATGACTCATTTCATTGATCTTTAGACTTTGCGAGAAGATCTAGAGATTGTCCATGTTGTCTTTGTCCAATGAGAGACTTTGAGGCTGTGGACACTACACAACAATCTTCCCAAAAGCTCAGGATTCCGATACATTGCCGACGCATTGCCATTGCAACGCTAGAACTCTATTTTACTACTTTCAGCTTAATTTTCGTTGCATTTAGTGATAATTTATTGATTTTAAATTTACCAACATATACTTCATTTCATTACGATTCTTCTGTCTTTTACCGATCTTAATTTGATCAATTAAATCGTCTATAATCACTTATGTAAGAATCACCGGGTGGAACTCTATTTCTGTCCGATTCGCATTTGCCAGGTGCTGATGTCATTATGACGTCCGCACCCTTATTTCCCTTTTTTGTGAATTTTAAATATATTTATTTTTCATTTTGTAGTATAAAATTCATAGAAAATCATATTCATTGAGAAAAATTCTGAATAATTACTAGATATTATATTACAGCCTTGTGATCGACTTGGAAAATTACCGCTATTTTTGAAAGTTTTCTTAAATTATAATTTATATATTTATTTAGAAATACTTCTAAATATTTAAAAATTCATATTTTCTAGTTTTATAAATTTTAGATTTACGTGATTTAATATACAATGACTAAGTCACATCAATGTCTAATCAAATTTTCAATTGATAACACTTATTTTGATGAAGTACAATGTGATGTTGTTGAGATGGATGCTTGTCACATAAAATTAGGCCGACCATGGTAATTTGATGTTGATGCTACATACCGTGGTAAGGAAAATATTTATATTTTCTATAGAAAATTTAAACAAAATTGTTCTGGCTCCAATGCAAGACAACGATTTCAATAAAGGAGAGAAGGAGAAAAGAAAAGTAATGCTTATCAATTAGACAAAGTTTCATAAAGAGTTTGATATTAATACTGAATTATTTGTTATTGTTCAAAAACCTAATGTAAATATCAAAATAACTGATGTGATATCAAAAGCTGTTGAAAGTTTCTTATTTGAATTTTCTTGAATTCAAGAACTATCTACTCATCTTCCACTAATGTGAGATATACAACATCATACTGACTTTATACCAAGAGCAAGCTTGCCTAACCTTCCACATTATAAGATGACCTCACAAGAAAATCAAAATTTTCAAGAATAAGTAAAAGAGTTATTGAGTAAAGGATTAATAAGAAAAAAATTAAGCCCATGCTTTGTGCTTTCTCTACTTGTTCCAAAGAAAGATGGAAGTTGGTGGATGTGTGTTGATAGTAGAGCTATCAATAAGATAATGGTTAAGTATAGATTCTCAATTCCCCATCTAGATAACATATTAGATATATGATTTGTGGTTCTAATTTTTTTTCAAAAGTTAATTGAAAGAGTGGATATCATCAAATCTGAATTCAGCTAGGAGATGAATGAAAGATTATCTTTAAAACTAAGGCAAGTCTTTATGAATGATTGGTCATGCCTTTTGGCTTATCCAACACCCCTTGTACCTTTATGAGAGTGATAAATCAGATTCTAAAATTTTTTAATGGTAAATTTGTTGTTGTTTATTTTGATGACATTCTTATTTACAGTACTACGGAAGATGAACATGTGAAGCATTTCAGATCAATATTTAAAGTATTTCAACATAATGAATTATACATTAACTTGAAAAAATGTGACTCCATAACTACTAATTTGTTATTCTTGAGATATGTTGTAAGTACAAATGGTACCAAAGTAGATGAAGAAAAGATCAGAGCCATTAAAGATTAATCAACATCAACCACAATTCATCACGTTCAAAGTTTTCATAGATTAACATCATTTTATAGAAGATATATTTGAAATTTTAACTTAATAACATCTCCAATTACTACATGTATGAAAGAATGTCATTTTAAATGGACAGATAAAACTAGTAAAAATTTTATCGTGATAAAAGAAAAATTATGTTTTGCTCTTGTTTTAGCCCTACCAAATTTCGATAAACTATTTGAAGTGAAATGTGATGCATCCATACTTCGTATTGGAGGTGTATTGTTGTAAGAAGGTTGGCCAATAACATTTTTTGGTGAAAAACTTTTTGAGGCAAGAAAAAAATGGACAACATATAAACTATAATTTTATGCCATGGTTCGTACTTTACAAACATGAGAACATTATTTGATTCAGTGAGAGTTTATTTTATATACTAATCATCAAGCTCTTAAATTAGTAAATAGTCAAACTTCTATCAATAGAATGCATGTCAGATGAATCTCTTTCATTCAACATTTTACTTTTGTTATTAAATAAAAGTCAAAAAAACTGAATTGAGTTGTAGATGTTCTTAATAGAAAAATAACATATTTGGTGAAACTATGTATTGAAATCACAGGATTTGATTCTCTCAAAGAATTATACCCATACGACAATGATTTTTCTCAATAGTATATAATTTGTATGTCAGGAATATCAACTAAAAGGTTTTCACCTACAAGATTTTTTATTTCAAGGAACACAGTTATGATTCTTCACAACTCTTTTAAGGAGAAACTACTATGAGAATTACATTCTTCAGGTTTAATAGGACACCTTCATCGAGACAAGACTTTACAATCAGTTGAAGAGTGATATTATTGGCCTAAACTAAAGAAAGATAGAGAAAATTTTATTCGTAAATGTCAGGTTTGTCAAACCTACAAGGGACAAAGTCAAAATAATGGATTATACACTCCATTACCTATTCCACAATGTCCATAGGTTGATATTTCAATAAATTTTATATTAGGTCTGTCGTGAACATAGAGAGGAGTTGACTCAATTTTGGTGGTCGTTGATAGATTTTTAAAAATAGCACACTTCATTACATATAAAAAGACAAATGATGCAAGTCAAATAGTCAAACACTTTTTTAAATAAATTATTTTTTTACATAGAATTCTTGAGTCAATTACCTTTGATAAAGATTCTAATTTTATATCTTACTTCTGACAAACTATTTGGAAGAGGTTTGACATATTTTTGAAATTCAGTAGTACTAGACACTCACAAATTGATGGCCAAACTAAAGTTGTGAATAAAACTCTAGGCAATTTGATTTGTTGTATTTTAGGAGAAAAGTCAAAATAATAGAATTATGTTTTGGCACAAGCAAAGTTTGCATATAACTCAATGATTAATCATTTGACTAACTAATATCTATTTTTAATAGTATATTATTTTTCTCTAAGAATTCTATTATATTTATTATAAATATTAAGACTAGTTAGAACTAGTATTACTGTAAATAATATGATAGATTTATCAAAATATGTTATGAAGGTGTGATACACAATCTCACAACCAATTATGAGAAGTATAAAGTGACAATAGATAATAAAAGAAAAAAAAAGATATTTGAAGTTAAAGATAAAGTGATGATGTACCTTCATAAAGAACGATTCCTAATAGTTAGCTACAATAAGTTGAAGCCAAAGAAATATGGGTCATATCAAATTCTACAGAAGATCAATGATAATATGTACCTTATTGAGCTCTCACCAAATATGACTATTTCACCCACATTCAATGTTAGTGATATATATGAGTACTATGATGATTCAAATGAAAACTCAAGGATGAGTTTTCTTGAAGGAGGAGAGACTAACGTAGCCCAAGACACAAGTTGAACTGTCAACTTTGAATTTGGGCCCACTTATTTTGAATTTGGGCCATGAAGTAAAAAGTACAAAAAAAGAGCCCACATATGTCACTAGTGGGCCAAAAGTTTGAATTTGAGCCCATTTTATGTCCTTTCACTTTTAGAAAATACTTTATGTCTCATTCTTTCTAGAAGAGACTTTAATGTGGTTTAGTCTATACCTAAGATATGTTCAGGATTTCTAACTATCAAAGTTTGTACTTAAAATCTACTTAGGATCTCTAACTGTCAGAGTCTGTACCTAAGATATATTTAGGATCTTTAATTGTCAGAATCTATTTTAGGTTATTTCAGATTTAGTCAAAGTATTTTTAGAGGACATGTCTAAGATCTCAATTTGTCAAAGTCTGTTTTAAATCATTTCAGAATTAGTCAGACTTTGTTCTTAGGATATGTCAAGATCCTCCTTTTGGAGAGCACCCAACCTCCTTTCTAGGCTTATATAAAGGCCTCTATTGTGACTTGAGGTCCTCATTTTTTAGTTAAATCAATTTTCTCCACTGTGAGAATCTTTCTCTCTAGCTCCACCCCTTGTGGATTCAAGAGTTGAAGACTTCAAATTTGTAGATTCAGAAGTAGGTTTCTTCTCCAAGATTGGAGCTTTATAGATTCAAGCCTTTATCTTGTTTATCTTCCACAATACTATTGCATCATTTACATAGAAATAGTAAAGTAGCAACCAAAAGTTATGTTCAAATTGATATTTTAGAAGGTTAACCTTCAAGATCGTTTAGTTGATTTATGAGTCAAAATTCATATAAAAGAGACTGATTTGTGCAAGGATTTTGATGGTGGGCTATTCCAAGATCTTGCCTCACTACATGGGTCAAAGAGGCGATGAATGGCAACAGAGGCCACTTCACAATTGAGAGCACCAAAATGTTGCATTCATTTCATTCTGAAATTGTAGATAATGGTTATGTTTGCTCGTTGACTTTGGGGATCTAGTTTTAGTGGGTTTTGGCTCATCCTACTTTTGAATTTGAGAAGCATATCTAGTGTTGCCCGGGCCATGAATACTCGATAATTATTTGAAAGTTCAGCCCAGCCCATTGACCTGGGGGCGGCCGAAAGTCAAACCCCGCGCTGCTTGCTGCTCAACAGGAAGCTGAACGACGGCCGGCAATACCCGCGGCGGATGAACATGTCGGCGAGGACCTTATACATGGCCTCCGTCAGGTGGGCCCCGTCCCAGTTGATGTACCTCCTCGGGTCTGGGCAGGCGGTGGTCACCGCCGGAGTGGCACACGTGGCGAATAGATCGAAGTTGAATGGGCCGCCGCCGGACCCGCAGCAGGTCTTGAAGGGCTCCCGGAAGCCAAAGGCCTTGGGGTTCTTCATAACGGCGCGGTGGGCGGCGGCGTAGTCGGCATATGAGATGATGGCACGTGGATGACGGCGGCGGAGGTCGTCCAGCCTGGACTGGAGTAGGACGTTGAAGGCGGCGCTGCGGCGGTTCTGGGAGGCGGAGCATGCGAGGTCGTCCCGGTGGTCTCCAGCAGGGACGAGGCTCAACGTGAGGGGGAGGCAGCCGGAGAGCGGGTGCCCTTGCACGACCATGTACTTGGCGCCCTTGCTGAGGAGGGCCTGTAGCCAGAAAAGGAAGAAGAAGACCGATTATTTTCTTTTCACGAGTACCCAAAAACTGAATTTATCATTATTCTTCTCCACAGTTATCGCATAGATATTTAAAGACTATTTATCTAATGTTTTCGTATAAAATAAAAAAGTATATTTACGAAAAAATTACATTTATGACCATGAGCAGTAAATTCAGAAAGTTCATTATCATAACTCCCTGCCGCACGCCAAAGTGTATGAGGTCCGAGAAAATTAGGGTATAAGAAAAATAATCAGACAGCGGAAGCTCCAACCTCACCCATGGAGTGAGGCCTGCTGCCTCTTCTGGTCGCTCTAGGAATCTACACGCAACACAAACTTTATATATACCCCAAAAAATAGATACCTTTATTATAATCTCCAGCTCTTTTATTTACCCATTAAAGAATTGAAGAGATAATGTCGTAGTAAATAGGATAGACATGCAAAAAAAATATAAAAACAGAGGGCTTGAATTTGTCCTCTGTTAAACGAAACGAGGAACTGTCCTCTGCTTTTAAAAAAATTGCTACTATCTGTCCTCTGTTAAACGAAAAACCCCACTTCACCACCGCCAATAATCTGAATGCGCAGAGACTCTCTTGGGAGTGGTAAAGGATAACGAACTGTTCCAGTCTTCTTCTTACCTCGAGAAATCTGGTGACGCTGTCGAGGACCAGCTCCTGGACTTGGTCCGGCGAGACGCGGGAGCCGACGATATAGGCGTTGTCGTTGACCCCGATCTCGCCGACCCAGAAGAGGGCGCTCTCCATCTCGGCGGTGCACGCGGCGGGCAACCTGCGATGCCGCCTCCCGCCACAGCCCCGCTCTGCCATGAGCCTCTCAAACCAGGCCAGCTGCGTCCCCAGGGATTGCTGGATGATGTCAAGGGAGAGGTTGTTGCGGACGAAGAAGGAGTGATCGATGGCGGTGGAGCCGGCCACGGCGAAGTTGGCGCCGGCGGAGGAGTTCATGGCGCCGGCCGGGTGGAGATACGGCGGAGGAGAGGGAAGGGAGAGGGCGGCGGCGAGGAAGTCGACCACGAGGCGGCCGTCGGAGTAGCGGCCGGTGGGCCGGCCAAAGGTGGATCCATAAGGGAGTTGGTGAGCGTGGCCGAAGGAGAAGGGCCACAAGGAGTCGTTGGTGTTGCCTATGTCAGTGAAGGAGTCCCCGAACGCGTAGATCCTCGAGAAGCCACTTCCATTCCGGATTGCCCTGGCGGGGCCGGGGACTGCCGCTGCAGTGACGGCGAACGGAGAGGAAGAACATACGGACAGGAAGAGCAAGAAGAAAAGCACGGCGTGAGACGGAGTAAATGAGAGGGGAGCCATGGAGACGAGGAACTTCACGGCTGAGAGTGATGCAACGCGAACCTGGCTGGGTTACCGCTACTATATATGGGAAGAGTAAGCCGGAAGAGCCTACGGCAGTGAACTTACCTTCATCTACCACTGCGGCTCCCCTTTAAGGGGAAGAAGCAAGAGGTCGGAACAAGGCGAGGGTTACTGTATCCTCGCGGTCAGAGAACTTTTGCATTATTTTACCGCATATCAGGGTGAATATGTTCGTAGAAGATATTATGGGTGTTTTTTGCGAAAATTACATTTTTCATACGGTGGTGTGCTTTTTTAGAAAAAACACATTTTTCCTGAAATTTTCTATTTTGGAAATTATATAGACGAGTATTCTTCCGGATGTAATCTTAAAATTTTGCTTCGGCGATGAGCGACCTGATTTGAGGAGTCCACCGTGAACCCTCCTCCGATCGAAATGGGGCCCAGCGGAGGCAGTGGGGGGAATTAAAGCAGCCCATTAAAGGCCCAACAAGGAAATGAATGAGAGCAGATGGCGCCAGGGATCCGTTGGGCCTTTAATCGCCTTCAGGAATCCTGGCCGGTGATTTAAATGACTGCGGTGACCGGTGAAGAAGTTGGTGGTGGGAAAAGGAGCCTCTCCATCAGTTTGAACCTGTGAGGTGACTCTACTCTCTCACTTGATGAGTTCAGACATTTACTTGGGTAGATCATCAGACTTGCCGATGGGCTGGGATGGGCCTGGGCTTTGGCAAGCCCGGCCAAAGTTTGGATCATCAGACATCCGTTGAGTTCAGGGTCTGGTCTCATAGAAAAACCAAAGAACATATGTTCCAAGACAACTGAAGGAGAGTAAGTGCGCTGGATGATCATGGAACTACTGCATTATCGCATGAAAAGTTCAGCTTTAATTTCTTTGGTTAGATCCTATTGAAGTCACTGATGGGGTTTTCCTGACTGATTTTTCAAGCACAAATTCTGAAAAACATTAGGCCAGCACTGCTATAGGCTTATCAGGCCTAGTGGCACAACAATAAACCTTTTTAAATTGGGTGCTTGTGGTTGAGATTATTTTCTGTATTTACCCTTTCTAACCATGATGACAACATTTTAGATGCTAACTTGGCTAAAAGTGAGATCATCAAAAGTAAAGTTGACATCATGACACAAAAGTCTACTTCATTAAGGTGACATTTCTATGTTAAATAATGTTTGTCAATGAAAAATGGTTTTAAATTTACTCTGTGAATTAATTTAAGCTACTATTAATGTTGAAATAAAAAAGGAAATAAGATTGACAAAAAAGAGATAGTAGACATGAATGTGATAATATTAACTATAAAATTGATGTAGGATGAAAAATTCAATCATAGGATGGATGAACAGTTTTTGAATTTGGTGGCCTAAAACTACTTATCTAAGTGTTTAGGCGGCTAAAAATATGTGCTACAACAATGAGAAGGTCTCAAAAGGACCAAATTACTTTTGGGTTATATTTTGTATGTCCAAAATTTTTCAAAAATTAGTTTCCCAATCAAGTGGACCAAAAGCTCATCTATAGCCCAACCTACAAGGTTGAGGCCAAAGAAGTATGAAGACACAAGTTGCCTTCATTTAGGCTCAAGGTGGGCTAATAATAAAATTGGCCCCTAGTAAACATAGTATAAATACATTCAAAGCTTTTCTAAAATGAGTTTTCTTACTTTAATTTTTTCTCTCAATTTTAAGCACATCAAATTTAATTGAATGGGCTGAAATCCTCATTTTTAGGAATATCTGAGCAAATATCCACTTATTTACAAGCCTCATAATAGCCCAAGAGGTATTGAATGATCCTTCTTCTAAGGTTCTGTTTCTCTATTGGTGGATTCTATTGTCACTTTGTGGATTTAGAGGAACTCTTTTTGTTCTTGTGGACTCAAGATCAAGCCTTTGTGGATTCAAGGGTCAAAGCTTCCATGTTTTGTGAATTTAAGGTATAGAATCTTTAATGAAATTCTGACTCATTTCAATTTAAGGATGAAATCGATGAATTCCTTCATTAAATTTAAAAAGATGAGATAATAAAAATAGAGGAGGGAACAACTCTAAATTCATTAATGGATTCAATTCTTCAAAAAGATAATTCGAATTGAAGGAATGAAATAAAGTATTAAAACATCAGAATAAAGATCTATTTTATGATATTTACAAGTAATAGTTGCAACTTAAATTGCATCACAACTCTATGAAAGTGTCATTTCATTGATTTTTCATTGCATCAAATGGAATTAAAGGAAGGTCAAAGGCTTTGAACATCAATATATATTTTTTGATCTTTGCAGGTTCAAGGACCATCAAGATTAATTATTGTGGATTTAAGGATTGAGAGAGCTTTGCATCTTGTGTATTCAAGGTCTAATTTTCCTTCTTAATTAATTATTTTTAGTGTTTTATATATTCTAGGTTCAACTTTTACTATTGTGGATTTTTTGATTTCAGACTAATAGGTTAAAGATTTAATATTTATGATCAGTTGATTCATGTGTATGATACATTGAATAAGTTTGACCATATTCACTAGATCTAGTAGTATTAACAATGGATTTTAAACGAATTTCACTTTGATTATTAGTTGTAAAAGGTTCACATTTACTTGAAATGATGATTTTAAATTTGAACATCACAATTGTTAGATTATGGCATTGGCCCATTATGGACTTGGCCCATTAGGGCCCATTAGGGCTATTATCAATCCTTGTACTCATCTTCCTTTTTCTCTATCTCAATTTAAGGGTTTACGACGCTCTTCTCTCCACATGGTTTAAGAGCCATAGGGGCTCAATTCGTCGCCCCTGCTCTACCACTCACATCACCATTCATTGTCACTAATCTTTCAGCAGCATCTTTAGTGCTGCCTCTATTTGTGGTGGCCTCATTAGGGAGCTTTGTTCCCACCAGGGCACCCCCCCTCTAGGTGCTGATCTCAAGGCATCTAGCCTATCACCAGTGGCCTCAGTGATAAGTCTTCATTATCATGAGTTAATAATTAGTAAATAATATAGTTTTAGCCTTAACTCATGACAAATAGACTTATATTTGTGTTAAAGAATGATTTTTTGTTTTCAATTGATTAACGTGAATTTTTGGGTAATTATGTGATTTTATACGATTTTTACAGTCTTACTTTTGAGATAAATGAAGAACAAGAAATTAAAATAAAAAATATTGCAAAAATGGGGGGACCCGTCGGCCAGCCGGGCCCGCAAGCGGGTCGGAAGCGCAGTCGGGGAGTAAGCCGCGAGCAGGGGCTCGAGCGGCTTGGCTTGGGGAGCGACAGGGCACGCGTACGCCACTCCCCTTCCACGTCACCGGTGGCCAACCGGCTGTGGGACAAGGAGTGGTCATACACGCGAGAGAAGGGACTTTGCTCACAAAGCTAACATTACTATATATTCGCCCGAAAAATCAGCATACAACTAATGTGGGACTAAACCCTCGTCACACCTTCCTCAGAAGAGGCAGGCGACCGGCGCGGGTTTGAATCCTCCCAGAGTCAAAATTCATATATTTTTATCTGACTATCACGACTTTCCTGCAGATCACCGGTGAAGGATTAAGCAACGAGAATCGTTAGATCATCGGCGAAAATCTCGCCAATGCGATTCGCGGAGCATTGCTACTAAAATTGCTGAACGATTCGCGATAAAAGGATCACGAATCCATCGAGTAAATCATCTCCGATTGATCGACGAACAAGCCGTCGTCGGGAAGAGGACAATCTGCTGGGAGACCAGTCGCCACCTCCTGAGAGCGTACCAGATGCGATGAAGAGCCTCCTCTTGCTGCGCGGACCTGAGGATGAAGCTCCCTGACACGCGCCCCACCTCCATCTAGCGCCTCTCCGTCGGGTGACAGCCGCTGGAGAGCCGCAAAGTCGCCGTTTTTCCGCTCCGCCGGGTGATAACCGTCGGAGACGATTCGACGACTCACTTCATTGATCTCTAGACTTCGCGAGAAGATCTAGAGATTGCCCACGTCGTCTTTGTCCAAGGAGAGCCTTCGAGGCTGTGGACACTGCACGACGATCCTCCCGAACGCTTAGGATTCCGGTGCATCGCCGACGCATTGCCGTTGCGACGCCGGAATTCTATTTTCCTGCTTTCAATTTAATTTACGCTTTATTTAGTGATACTTTGTGTGATTTTAATTTACCAAACTATACTTCGTTAAATTACGATTCTTCTGGCTTTTACAGATCTTAATTTGATTAATTAAGTCGTCTATAATCGTTACGTAAGAATCACCGGGCGGAACTCTATTTCCGCCTGATTCGCGTTTGCCGGGCGTTGACATTATCCTGATGCCCGCACCCTTATTTCCTTTTTTTTCGTGAATTTTAAATATATTTCCTTTTTATTTCCTAGTATAAAATTCGTAAGAAAATCGTATTCATTGAGAAAAATTCTGAATAATTACCAGATATTATATTACATCCCTATGATTGGCCTGGAAAATTACCGCTATTTTTTGAATTTTTATTGAATTATAATTGATATATTTATTTTGAAATACTTCTAAATATCTGAAAATTCGTATTTTCTAGTTTTATAAATTTTATATTTGCGTGATTTAACATACAACAACTGAGTCACGTCACTCAGCCACTAGTTTCTCTATGGTGCCGCCTGCACAGCATTTGCACCCACTCTCTATTGTGTGCAGCCTATCCTACCCCGCACCACGTGTCGGCCCTCTCTTGTGTGCGCCATGTGCCGGTCCTCTCTTGCTTTCCATACCAGCACATCTATACCAACATCTCTCACCCTTCATGCTAGCATGTCAGTCCTTTGGATGCTGATCTCAAGGCATTCAGCCCTCTCTCTTGTTGACCCTGATCTCTAGGCCTCCTATGCATCGGCCTATGTGCACATCTTCTACGTCGTGCATTGTCTGCTCAAGCCTCTCATCATTTTGTCATCTCTACTTGATGCCATGTCTTTGAACTATCTTCATTGGGGACATCTTGACTTTGCTGT